CGGGGGCTGAATCATCATTTCAGAGTTATAAACATCTGTGAAACATGCAGCAGTGAAGTGAAGATATTTGCTAACACTGTCAAACTCATCTGTAATGTTTGCAGAATTGGGAAAAATATAAAAGGAAGAAAAAGTTATTGTTTGTACGTTAATGTAAAAAAAAAAAAAACAGGCTGTACTCTAATCCCATGTGATGCCTCGTGTCTGATGAAATATCCCAGAACATATTTGTTTAATAAATTAGTTTTTAAACACTCATTCATTACATCCCCTCTGACAGAAATTCTGGAAATAGTACAGTCATCATTTGTCTGCCATCACACAGATGATGCAGCGAACATCTTGTTGTGGTCATGAAAAACAAAATTAGAGCGCAGGATGACTAAAGTTCCCTCATGCACTTCTCTCCACACAATCCTGTTCATTCAAATAAAAGAAAAAACTTCAGTAATACCAAGTGGTTCCATTTCCCTGTTCTTCAGAAATAGATGTGAAATTCTTCTCCAGCATGTCACATGGTTTATGAGAAAACTGTTTCCAGTTACAGTAATGTCAACAAACTAGTGGGGCAAGTCATTGCTGCAGATCATATGTCAGCTTGTATTCATCATTGGGAACCAGGAAGAAAATTATATTTCTGCAGAAGGTTCCCCACGCTGCATAGGAGATGCTACAGTTAGCTACTGCTGCTTTTTTTGTTCTTGCAAATAAACATAAAGTTCTAAGTGGATAACCATGTAAAACAAAAACTGACAGTATTGTAAAAGTTTATTAAAATGTATAAAGTACTAATATATATATATATATATATATATATATATATATATATATATCTTACATATGAGTTGTTTTAAAGATGGCAGCAATACACAGTGTTGCTTGAAAGTTTAAGAAGCTTTTAGAATTTCCTATATTTCTGCATAAATATGACATAGAACATTTTTTATTGAGAAAAATGATCCAATATTACATATTTATGAGTGGCAAAAGTATGTGAACCTTTTCTATCAGTATCTGGTGTGACCCCCCTGTGCAGCAATAACTGCAACTAAATATTTCCAGTAACTGTTCATCAGTCCTGCTCACCTACTTGAAGGAATTTTAGCCCATTCCTCTGTACAGAACAGCTTCAACTCTGAGATGTTGGTGGTTTCCTCACATTAGCTGCTGCTTTAGGTCCTTCAACAACATCTGGATTGGATTAAGGTCAGGACTTTGACTTGGTCATTCCAAAACATGAACTTTATTCTTCTTGAACCATTCTTTGGTAGAACCACTTGTGTGCTGAGGATCACTGTGTTGCTGCATGACCCACCTTCTCTTGAGATTCAGTTCATGGACAGATGTTCTAACATTTTCCTTTACAATTCTCTGATATAATTCTGAATTCATTGTTCCATCAACGACGGTGAGCCGTCCTGGCCCAGATGCGGTAAAACAGGCATAAACCATGTTTCACAGATGGGATAAGATTCTTATGCAGAGTCTTCCTTTCTCCAAACATGACACTTTTCACTTAAACCAAAAAGTTTTATTTTGGTCTCATCCGTCCACAAAACATTCTTCTAACAGTCTTCTGGTTTGTCCACATGATCATCAAACTGCAGACGAGCAGCAATGTTCTTTTAGAAGAGCAGTGGCTTTCTCCTTACAACCCTGCCATGCACACCATTGTTGTTCAAGTTCAAATTCATTGTCATTCACATCACATGTGGTAAATGAGGTGGAATGAAATTATGTACCACTACTCAAGGTCCCAGTTACATCCAACAATAGCAAAAATATAAAGTATAAAAAGAAGTAGTATATAAGGATCTAAGATACAGTATACACCAAGATATACTCTAAACACTTGTAATGTAAAACAATACGGTGTGTCAAACAGCAGCACGAACACAAGTCTGTGGTGAGCGGATGGGTACGAGTGACTACAGCAGCATGAGAACAGCAGCATGGATAATCAGCAGCACAGATAAGTCACATATCACCAATTAAAGTGACATTACAGGGATTTGTTTTCTCCTTACAGTGATTATCCTGTTTAGGAATTTATGAGTCTACCAGCTTCAGGGTAGAAGCTGTTCCTCAGTCCAGTGGTTCTACACTTAATGCTCCACAACCTTCAGCCTGAAGGGAGCGGGGCAAAAAGTGTGTGTGCTGGGTGAGTGGGGTTGTTCATGATGCAGGTGGCTCTCTTCCTGCATCTGGAGGTGTAGATGTCTGTGATGGTGGGGAGGCCGACTCCAACAGACTTCTGTGCAGCCTTCACCACTCTCTGCAGAGCTTTTCTTTCTGCAGCTGTGCAGCCCCCGTGTTCAGTGTTCTCCAGACGGTGGACTCATGAACATTAATGTGAGAGAGACCTTCAGTTGCTTAGAAGTTACTCTGGGATCCTTTGTGACCTCGCTGACTATTACACTCTTTGCTCTTGAAGTGATCTTTGTTGGTCGACCACTCCTGGGGAGGGTAACAATGGTCTTGAATTTCCTCTATTTGTACACAGTCTGTCTGACTGTGGATTGGTGGAGTCCAAACTCTTTACAGATGGTTTTGTAATCTTTTCCAGCCTGATGAGCATCAACAACTCTTTTCCTGAGGTCCTAAGAAATCTCCTTTGTTCCTGCCATGATCCACTTCTACAAACATGTTGTGAAGCGCAGACTTTGATAGATCCCTGTTCTTTAAATCAAACAGGGCGTCCACTCACACCTGATCATCATCACATCACTGAAAGCACCCGACTCTTAATTTCACCTTCAAATTAACTGTTAATCCTAGAGGTTCACATACTTTTACCATTCATAATTAAGAAATATTGGATCATTTTCCTCAATAAATAAATGACCAAGCATAATATTTGTCTCATTTGTTTAACTGGGTTCTCTTGATCAACTTTTAGGCCTTGTGCAAAAATCTGATGTTTTAGGCCTAATTTATGTAGAAACTATAGACAATTCTAAAGTCTTCTTAAACTTAAACCCCACGATCCAAAAAGGAAAAAGCAGGTAAAGAGGATGGATGGATGGATGGATGGATGGATGGATGGATGGGATCCAGGCAGAGAGCAATAAAACTAAGGAGTGTTACCTATGATGACATTTTTTAAAGAGTCCTAAAGATTTAGTTTGTTTTGTTTTGGTAAAAGATCCTGATACTACATAAACACTGTGTTCATTTGTCTTCATGCTGGTTAAATGTAACAAAATGTTGGATCGTTATTTAACATTTTATAATTATTTGAATCAGTGCAGCAAATTATATACGTACATATATATATATATTCATATAACTAGATCCTGTCTCTGAACGCTAGGAAACGACTTGTAACTGACTTTCCTTCCCTTCATGGTGACATTTACATGAACGCTCCTACAAGAACCCTGCAGATGTTGGATGCTGTCTATCATGGTGCACTAAGATTCATAACTGGCTGTGATTATCGTACCCACCACTGCACCCTGTATTCACTGGTTAACTGGACATCTTTAACTTCACGCAGACTCTCCCACTGGTTCATTTTCATCTTTAAATCACTTCTTGGTCTGCTGCCTTCATACATCTCCTCCAACATGTCTCTGCGTGAGTGCAGCTACAGCGTGCGCTCTCAGGACATTACTACCAGCAGTGTTCCTTCATTGTGGACTGAACTAGGCAAAAGGGTCTTCTCCTACTCCGCTCCTGTTTCCTGAAATATCTTGCAAAAAGATCTGAAGCTCTCGACCTTGACCTCTCTAAGGGACTTTAAACTTCTGTTAAGTTCCTGGAAAAAACTAATGTAGACACGTTCCTGTTTTTAGTTTTTTTTTACATCGCCTTATAATGTAGCCGTTTTGGTTGCATATTTATATATATATATATAATTTTCTTCCATTTATTTTTGATTTTATATGCTTTTTGAATGATTGTCTATTGTTGTCATCTGTGTTCTTTGTTTAAAAACAGCTCTCTCTTGAAAATGAGTCCTCGAGGCTCAATGAGACTAACCTGTATAAATGAAGGTTGAATGAATGAATAAAAAAAAAAAAAAACACCTAAATAAAAACATGGTGGCTACAGTTTCTGTAAGTTAGAAATTAATCAATTTAATTCTGTATGTTATTGCTAAAGTTTTTACTCTTTGTACTATATTTATACTGCGTTTCTTTATTGATAATACAGTGCATTTGTAAATGTCACAAATCAAACCTTATACTATAAATGTAATGTCTGGCAGAACTAAAGATACTTTAGATTGACGCTTATAAACATTTAACTGTAACCTGATCCACGTGCTTTAAATCATCCTTCAATATAATTTCAACATTTTAAACTTCCATTAAGGGTTATTTTGAGGACTTCATTTCCCAATGTGTTGTATCAACAACCGTCTATGCAGGATTTATTAAACAGTCACAGGCCTACTAGCTAACTTGTTTTACTGCGCTCGAGTAACTTAGGGAAAAGAAAAACACAAGATGCCCCACACAGATCTACTCCGAAAAAGGCAGCTCAGGCTAAGCTTATCCAAAAACAAGTGACAGACCAATAAATTAAAACAAATGTGAATGTGCTTTTTAAAGTACTGAACAAATCAAGATCTTTAAGTAAGAGATGCTTCATGTATTTATAAAGAAACCAAAACCTTCTTTTGCTTTAAATCGGAAAAGTGACAAAGAAAGAGTCAGCAAGGCACAACACAATAACCTAATCGTGAGAAAGTCCCTATTTCATCACAAAATATTCTTTTGAATTCCAGAATTTTTTTTCCCCATTCATGACAGCTTTAATTGCATCTGCATTACTTTAACTGTTGGTCATAATGTTATGGCTGCTCGGTGTATTTTTAAATGTTTTGGTGGGTTGTGTTTGTAACTGCGTGCTCGAGTGCTCCTGTAAGTAGGGGAGTGAGCATGCCGTGAGTGAAGTAGCTGTGTGTGTGTGACTGCAGCACCTGTGCACGTGTGTGTCAGGCTGTGAACAAGCGTGGGTGCGTGTACACCTGTGGCTGTGGCGTTACTCACTCATGCACTGCAGGCCATGCTTTTTCTGCAGGCTTTTGCTGCACAGTGAGCAGGTGGCGGAGCTGGAGAAGGAGCCTGGCACCAAGCGATGCCCGTTGCTGCTATGGCACACTTTCTCCTTGTCCTTCTCCTTCGCTCTCTCTCTCTCTCTCTGCAGCTCTTTCTCTCGGTTCTTACCCTGCAGAAAAAGCAAAATACAAGTGATTTTTTTTAACACAAACTACATGGTTGTCTAGCACTTTGCATAATGTATAAAAAGATTAAAAGTGTTGTGTGTGCCACATCATGCACACAAGTGTTATGAGTATTTGGTTTTTGTAATACAAGAACGTATCAATAAAGGAAGGAAATGACAGCTAGTTTCTGAAGCTTGTTGCAAATTTCACCACTTCTTATTTCTTGTTTACCACTCGTGTGTTATTGTTGTTTACCTTGTCTTTGTTGAAGGAGCCGGTCACCCTGTTCCTCAGAGAGCTGAAGGTCCTTCTCACCTTGGCGCCTTTCTCCACCTTCTCTGTACGATCCTCCTCTTCCTCATTCCTAATAGAAGAAGAAGAGAGTAGGTTGCAAAATATTATATCCATCTTTCATTGAAGATTTATTCAAAGTTGTAACTTTGTGTGTAGGACAGTTTAATTTTATTTATTTTATTTTTTTCATATATGATGACGCACAGTACAATGTAGTGTGATACTTTGATATGGTATAAAGTTTATTCATTTTAAAAAACAAAACGAAACAATTCCATAAACTATATAAAAAAAATACCAGATTTAAAATTAAAGGCAGGAGAAAGAAGAAAAAATCTTATTATATCTGCCCCTTTTTTCAAACAGTTCAATCATAATAATTTTCAAGTAACAGAACAAAACAAATAACTAATTTTTCTAATTCTAATACAAAACACACTAAGCTACTTTTTTTTTTTTTTTTTTTTACAATCCAGCTTTGATCTTTTTCTTAAATGTACACATTGACTTGGCATTTTTCACATCACTCTCTAGACCATTCCACAATCCAACTCCTTGGATTGAGGTAGACCTTCCCTTCAGACTAGTTCTGAATTGTGGTTTGACAAATATTTCTGTCCCCTTAAGATTATAACAACTTTGTCTTTTAACAAAATGTTATGGTCTCCTTGGGAAATTGTTTTGATTCAGTACTGCAATGTGAATTGGCTTGAAAATGTTTCTGGTCCTGACTAAAAGTTTAAGGTAACAACTATGAGCAGAATATTATTTAAGTTCATGACAGTTTCAAACCACTAACAGCAGCCCGGTGTGAACGTTTGATTGTTTCATATTCACATCTTATTTTAACAAATATTTATTTTAGTTCACGAGATCAGAATTTATTTGTTGCACCTCCTTCAAAAATGTGAAGTTCTGAGTTTGTTTTGGACAACACTTTTATGACTGAGCACTTGGAGGACCAGAACCTTCATCAGCAGGCAGGGTGCTGGGGAGTTTAAACTATTGTCATGTTGTAGAAGCCTTCATCTTTTCAGCTTCAATACAGACTTGGCTTTTAAAACTCACTGGTATAGTCCATAAATAATGTCTTGTTCTGTGTCTCTAAACACCAGTTTGTTTGGTTTTTTTGTCTGTGATCTGGTTCATACAATTATGTGCCAATCAAAAGGCAAGTTATATTTCCATTTGTAATCCTAGTTTTACAGTTCTGTAGTTGTTCTGGGCATGACTCATCTGCAACTCAAACATCGTTTTGTTTAGCATCAATACAAACAACTGTTTTATGAAAAAGTAAAGGGGATTAAAAATACCCGTGCCTAATTTACTCCAACAGATTTGTTCTTGAATGGGTCCCATTCTGAGTAACGGTTAGCTCGACTCCCAGTCAGAATTTCTCCCTGATTTTCCAAGTTAGGGCAACTTAATTAAGGTATTGCTGTCTGGCGCAGGTTAGACAATGACTACTTATAAAAACTCATCAAAATCCAACTTTAAAACACCAAATCTTTCCAAGTTGTTCTTATTTATTTGTAGACAACTAAAATAACCCTTTTGCTCAAAAACAAAATGAGAATTTTCATGAAATTTTTTTCATGAAAAACCAGTTAGTTAATTATTTGTATCATTCCTGCAGTATAATGACAGGTGGGTGGACAACTGCAGAGGGTTGTACTTACTCATTTGAAAGGAACTCGTACCAAGTGACATTTCCTGATTTTTTGGTGTCTGAACTGTTGCTTCTCTGCTTTGCTCTGCAAATGACAATTAAAAACGTTAACGCAGGGAGATTTCAACAGGAAATGGGTCCAAATATAAACCGATGACTAAGAGACAAACTTGTCAAAACCAAAGTTTACACAGATGATGAAAACAAATGCAATCTGACAGTATGAGCTGATTTGTGTTGCTGTGAACTTTTAAGGTCTCGCTTTTAGTGCTCGACAGATCCTTTCCAGGCACGGTGACTTACAGTATTACAGTTAAGGTCAGTGCACCAAGCAGACTCGTGCAAAATCACATGCAAAGATCATACATGCACACACACATAACCCCGTGTCAACACTTGGCTGCACTGAAGCTCTAAATAAAGATGTCTTTAGAACAGCAGAGGCGTGCAGACCTCCCTCCCCTGTTTACTTACCCGTGGTACAGCTTTAGCTCCTGCAGAACTTTCTGTACCATCAGCCTAAGACAAACAAAACACTGACACTGAGTGGTGGGAGAGGAGACCAGAGGACTGCTGGGAACTGGGTGTCAAATTGTGATTTACAGGAAACAAAGTCCTCCCTTCTGCTGCATCCACAAAACAATCAAGAGTGCACATATATTATAGATGCACACATTTACCAGAAGGAAAGGAATTGTGGGAGGGGGAGACTGCAGACGGATGACATGGAGAAGAAATGTCAGGCGTAGAGTGGGGAAAGCCCCCCTGTCATGTGGGAGTTAGGTAACAGAAACAAACTATGAACAAGAGCTGTGAGGATAATTTACAAAACATGTTGGCTGTCCTCTAAATCAAACCAGAGCTGCATCCCTTTTCTCTTTCAAGCATCATTAAAACCTGCACAGGAAGACAAATGCATCTTTTGGAAAAGAGCTCAGTATACTCCACATATTCCTTCCTCAGCTTGCAGACGATACTCACATATGGCTCTGGTCTTCAGTCGAGTGCAGGTTTTCTTCAGGGTCGAACTCCTCGGCCACTGGACAGAGAACCAAACAGGCTTGGTATGAAAATAAAGTATAAAACACGAGCTCACATGAAATACAGCTCTGTGTCGCCCCACCTCCTGCTGCCCTCGCGGCCTGTTTGGACGTCTGTACGACACGAGAAATGTGCGCCGCTCGGGAACATTCATCTGTGGCGAGGATGTCTGAGCGAGAGTACAGCGGCCTGCCAGGCACACCGGTGGTCTGAGAGAAGAATAAACACACATGATCATCTTGTGCACATCTGATCTGTTTTACGTCCACTTCCCAACATACAACAGATCCTGTATTGAGATTAATTTTGCTTACAGTTGGTCTTTATTAGCCGCTAATCTGCAGCATATTGAATCCCTTTTGGTCACTTTGGTCAGGACTCTCTCTAATTTAGCACAATACTTTAAATGATGCTTCCTCCTCTGTGCATGGACTTATTTGGTATCAATGTTTGTTGTATTCATCTTTTAATTTTATTATTTTTAGGTAGACACATTATGTTCATTTTCAAGAAAAAATGTTTGCATTTTGTAGAAAACCTTTTTGAAATCATGCTACAAAGTGCTTTAAGATGTGCTGTACTCCAGGTTTACAACGAGGAATGTTCAGAGGTTAAAACGTGGTGGGAAATGTTTTAGGATGAATGATCATGAACTTTAAAGCTTTGAACACGCTGGAGCAAAGTTCTATTTTAGGAACGGTAAGAAAGGCTCCAATCAATGCTCTCAAGCTTAAACCTAAATAGCCTCTTCAATCAACACAAGGCTGGTCATTTAAGGCTTTAAAACTAAGCAAAAAAATGTAAAAAATCTACTTTTAAAATTATAAACTTGCAGCTAAACTGTGATTTTGTTTTTTAAAGTAAATTTTTACCCGATGCAATGTTTAAAAAAAGTGATTTTTTTTTTTTTTAATCATAGCACTCATTTTACTCACTATCTTTGAGTCATACTGTTTGTTTAATCTCTTTTCATTAGTGAAAAAAAGTGCCATCTGACTGTGGTTAGGACGTCCATCAAAATGTGGTGCCTGGTGTTGTACAAACCGGATTCCAAAAAAGTTGGGACACTAAACAAATTGTGAATAAAAACTGAATGATGTGGAGATGGCAAATGTCAATATTTTATTCGTAATATAACATGGATGACAGATCAAAAGTTTAATCTGAGTAAATGTAACATTTTAAAGGAAAAATATGTTGATTCAAAATTCCACAGTGTCAACAAATCCCAAAAAAGTTGGGACAAGTAGCAATAAGTGGCTGGAAAAAGGAAATTGAGTATATAATGAACAGCTGGAAGACCAATTAACACTAATTAGGTCAATTGACAACATGATTGGGTATAAAAAGAGCTTCTCAGAGTGTCAGTGTCTCTCAGAAGCCAAGATGGTAAGAGGATCACCAGTTCCACCATTGTTGCGCAGAAAGATAGTGCAGCAATACCAGAATGGTGTTACCCAGCGTAAAATAGCAAAGACTTTTAAGTTATCATCATCAACTGTGCATAACATCATCAAAAGATTCAGAGAATTTGGAACAATCGCTGTGCGTAAGGGTCATGGCCGTAAAACTCTACTGGATGCTCGTGATCTCCAGGCCCTTAAACGTCACTGCACCTCAAACAGGAATGCCACTGTCAAGGAAATAACAGAATGGGCTCAGGAATACTTCCAGAAAGCATTGTCAGTGAACACAATCCACCGTGCCATCCGCCGTTGCCAGCTGAAACTCTACAGTGCAAAGAGGAAGCCATTTCTAAGCAAGCTCCACAAGCTCAGACGTTTGCACTGGGCCAGGGGTCATTTAAAATGGAGTGTGGCAAAATGGAAGACTGTTCTGTGGTCAGATGAGTCATGATTTGAAGTTCTTTATGGAACACTGGGACACCATGTCATCCGGACCAGAGAGGACAAGGATAGCCCAAGTTGTTATCAACGCTCCGTTCAGAAGCCTGCATCACTGATGGTATGGGGTTGCATGAGCGCTTGTGGCATGGGCAGCTTGCATGTCTGGAAAGGCACCATTAATGCAGAGAACTATGTTCAGGTTCTAGAACAACATATGCTCCCATCTAGACGTCATCTCTTTCAGGGAAGACCCTGCATTTTTCAACACGATAATGCCAGACCACATTCTGCAGCAATCACAACATCATGGCTACGTAGGAGAAGGATCCGGGTACTGAAATGACCAGCCTGCAGTCCAGATCTTTCACCTAGAGAGAACATTTGGCGCATCATAAAGAGGAAGGTGCGACAAAGAAGGCCCAAGACGATTGAACAGTTAGAGGCCTGTATTAGACATGAATGGGAGAGCATTCCTATTTCTAAACTTGAGAAACTGGTCTCCTCTGTCCCCAGACGTCTGTTGAGTGTTGTAAGAAGAAGGGGGGATGCCACACAGTGGTAAAAATGGACTTGTCCCAACTTTTTGGGGATTTGTTGACGCCATGAAATTTGGAAACAGATTTTTCCCTTAAAATGATACATTCTCTCAGTTTAAACTTTTGATCTGTGATTTGTGTTCTATTCTGAATAAAATATTAGATGTTGGCACCTCCACATCATTGCATTCAGTTTTTATTCACAATTTGTTTAGTGTCCCAACTTTTTTGGAATCCGGTTTGTACATGTTTAAAGAAACATATGAAATGTCCATCAAATCAAGCATTGCACTCAGTTTGTGCGATTTTTAATCCACCTCTCCCATTCTACTCAGACTGAAAATAAATGTTTGTTCCCCAATTGATGGAGCAGAAGTCACGTCCTCTCACAATTTTCACAAAATAAACATGAAGAAAATACTGATTCATAATGGGTTTTTTTTTTGTTTGTTTTGGCATAGTTTACGAAATACTTGTAGCAAGTCTAAAACTGAAGCCAACTGGTTCCTCTTTTGTTTCGCTTTCGTGTGAACAGCAGATGCAAAGCTGAAGACCATGAAGAGGGAAATGTGTCAGGAAATAGAAGGAGAAGAGGGAAGTCAAGAATGTAGAAGTGAGGGTGGCACCTCTAAATGTGGGGACAATGCCAGGCAAAGATAAAGAGCTGGCTGACATGATGCAGAGAAGGAAGGTAGATGTTTTATGTGTTCAATAGAACAAGTGGAAGGGCAGCAAGGCTCGCAGCATTGGAGCAGGGTTTAAACTGTTCAGCCATGGTGTGAAAGAGAAATGGAGTAGGGGTGGTCCTGAAGGAGAAGTTAGCAAATAATGTAGTAGAGGTGAAAAGAGTGTCAGATAAGGTGATGTGTCTGAAGGTAGAAGTAGAAGGTCTGATGCTGAATGTTGTCAGTGGTTATGCCTGACAAGTTGGATGTGATAGAGAGGAGAAAGATAGTTTGAAAGGATGCTGATGAAGTGAGAGAGAGTATTCCCAGGGAGGAACATAAGAGTGACCTATAAGAGTGGAGGAAGGAGTACGCAGTTCGACTACATTCTGTGTAGAAGAAGAAACCCGAGGGAGATTGGGGACTGTAAGGTTGTGGCAGGGGAAAGTGTGGCCAGACATTATTGGATAGTTGTGTATAAAATGACTGTTGTAAAGAAGAGAAAAATAGTAAAATAAGAGAAGACCAAAGGGTGGAAACTGAGGAAAGAAGAATGTTGTGAGAAGTTCAGAGAGGAACTGTTAATGGCTCAGGGTGAAAAGAGCTTCCAAATTACTGGACTGCAACAGTAAAGAGAGACAAGTAAGAAGGTACTTGGTGTGTCATCTGGACAGAGAATTGAGGATAAGGAAACCTGGTGGTGGAATAGTGAAGTGCAGGAAGCTATTCAAAGAAAGAGGTTAGTCAATAAGAAATATACCAGTGAGATGACTGAAGAGAGGATACAGGAATATAAGGAGATATACAACACAGAGCAACAAGGGAGGCATCAAAGGCAAAGCAGAAGGAGTTTGATATAGGAGGTTGGACACTAAAAATGTGAGAAGGTCTTGTACCGATTGGCGAGACAGAGGGATCAGGCTGGAAAGGATGTGCAGCAAGCTAAGCTTGTTAAAGATAGGAATGGCAATGTTCTAACAAGTGAAGAAACAGTGATGGGAAGATGGAAGGAGTACTTTGAGGAGCTAATGAGTGAAGAGAATGAAGGAAAAGGAAGAGTAGAGGTCATAGAAACTCTGGACCAATAAGTGGGAAAGATTAGTGAGGGTCAAGTTCAGAAAGCTCAGAATAGAATGGAGGAGGAGAAGGCAGTAGGAGCTGATGACATCCCAGTGGAGGTCTGGAAAGAGGGAAAAGCCGAAAGAAGAACTTAACAGCTGATGCAAAACTAAAATAAATAAATAAATAAAAATTCAAACATTTTTAGTTTTTAGTCTAAATATTAGTCAAGAATGAAATATTTTTTAAATCCCAAAGTTACAGTTTAGCAAAGGCAGAAGATAAGTTTTCCTTAAAATGTTAGTTTCTGAATAAAACATTTAAACAACTCTTCCACTGGTAACAAATCCTAAAACAAGCAAACAATTCCTGCCGTGAGTGGGAAGTTGAGAAGCAGAAGAGAAAAAAAAAAGAGACTGTTGGTCTGACTTATTTTCAGGTTGATTACCTTCATGCTGGAGCCATCGGACTCCTCTCCGGTTGATGCAGAGCAGCTGTCAGACTGCTGCAGGGTGGACTGGAAAAGACTACTTTGCTGCTCCTCATCATCGCTGTCTATGGCTATGGTGTCCAGACTCAACCTAACAGCAACACACACAGACAGGATTAGGCTCCGAGGTAAATCTGTACCCAGCCAATCTTTAACATCCAGTTGTTGCTCATCTTACCTCCTGTCAGAGCTGATGGGTGACAGAGGGACCCCCCAGCTATGCCGCCGAGATGTCGACATGGATCTGACCAGAATAGGTAAACTGTCCAGGTCTGGCTCTCCATCTAAATCCATCATTGCTTGGCCCTTTATCTCTTCAAGTCCTGTTGTTGCTTCGACAGTTTCTAAGGATCCCAGCTCTCCATTTTGAGTAAACATCAAGTTAAAATGTAAAGAAGGGTCAGCGGAGTCACCACCGTCAAAGAGACAACCTGAGAGCAGCTCAAGACTGAGCTGAGTGACGAGGTCAGAGGGAAGTTCCTCCGGAGGTTGTGTGCAGAAGGGAAGTGATGTTGCATCGACATGCGTGCAGTGTGTGGTCAGAGCGGTCTGCGTAGGCCGGTCAGTGATTGGACTGTCTGTGTTTGACAGCAGCTGTGAGTCAACAGGCTGCTGGCTGTTTCGCTCTGTTCTTTTAGTGGTTCCTGTTGATGCAGGGGTCTGTGAGGTCAGCGTGGCTCCCTCCAGGTCTCTGAAGTACTCAGAGTCTGTGAGAGAGGGACTAAGGCCTTGCAGGTCTTCCACACTGCTGCCCTCCTCCACAAAGGGACAGTCGTAGTCGCCGACTACAGAACATGTATCCTGAAATTATGAGAAGAGAGGAAGATGAGATTAGACAAACTGTTCAATGAATGGAGACAGTAAGGGGATAAAGCAGGTTCTTGATGCCGTCTTTCAGCTCATGTTTGGCTGAGTGACATTAAATTTATATTTAGGAGTAAATTAATACATTTTTTATTTTTATTTTGGGAGCTATGCTTTCACGATTAACAGTTTTGGATCAAGTGCAATGGTACCAAATAAGATGTGTTCGTCTCCTAAAGCATGAGCAAAACATTTGTCCCACTTAGTGGTTGGTTTGTTGCAAGGACCTAAACACAGCCACAGACCTGAGAAAGATTTTAGAAGCATGGTTTAAGTAAACAAAAACTGAGCAAACCTGAACGATACATAACTGGAAACAGACAAGAGCGAGCTCAATCAGGGGATCCATAAATGTGGGATGGGTGATTAGTGAGTGAGAGCAGGTGTGCTGATTATATATGAGACACAGGTGAGACGAAGCTGAAAGCATCAACAAGAACTGACAGAGACTTAATAAACAAATAAAAATAAATGTTTCAAATCATAAGCAAACAGAAAATAATCAAACAGGAATCATTTTAAAACACTGAATCTAAGAAAAAGTGAAAATAAAACGTTCTGTGGATGAGAAGTTAACAGTCACTGTGAAGCCAGCAGTTTGCTGCTTTGAAGTTTTGAGTTTGGGTTTTTGGCAGCTTTGGCAGCTTTGGCAGCAGGTTTTGGTGCTTTTGAAAGCAGAAGTGACATTAGGACGAGGAGGCGGGCTAGAGAATCCTAAAACACATACGGAAATAAATATGCACCTTTAAGACCTAATATCTATTTAATTTGGGAATCATTTAACACAATTACTGATAGAACACTGATTTTAAGAAGTGAAACTGACTTGTGAAACAAAAACACGTCTTGTAGGAAAAATGTAGTGACTCAGTATTTGATGACGATGATAAAGGCTGATCATGAGAGTCAGCAGCAGAGATCATCGGTAATCTGCTCTCGTTTGAATTTCTGGTTCACTACACTAAAACCGTCCATCCATTATCTTTTACCCGCTTCTTCCATTTTGGGTCACGGGGCTACACTAAATCCATCTAGTATAAATTCCACATTGGTATTAATAATAAAAACAAAGACTTTATTTAACAAGAGAACTTGCATTTTCTTCAAAAATGCAGTGCTGAAGCTGAAACTGAACATTTAAAGCTAAAAGAATCACCAAAAACACCAGCTATAAAAAAAAAGCCCAATGCTAGCCGAAAGAAGTGAAACACTAACTAAAAGAAGCAAAATACTAGCCGTAAACTAAAACGGCAAAAAGCTAACAAGAGCTGAGTGTAGAAAATCATAGTTTTGCAAAACATTAGCTAAAAACTAAAAATAGCAAAAGGCTAGCTAAAAAAATTAAAGTTGAAAGATAAAAGTAGCAACAAAAAAAAACCTAGTAAAAGCAGCAAAACAAACAACAAAAGGCTAGTTGAAAGCTAAAAGTAGCATCTGGATTTTTTGATCTATTCATTTATTGGATGGGGAGAGAAGATTGTGAAAACAAAGTTTATCCAGATGTTGCAGACACGTCTTTACCTGGTCATCAACGTTGCTGCCGAAGAACTCATCCTCTGTGATGGAGGCCGGGGTTAATGAGGTCGAAGACCTTTTCCCACTGGGAGCAAGGGGCCGGACGCCGAGTTGCCCATTGGGATTCCCACAGGAGTGACTACATGAATCAGATGCTGGACAACAAAGGATTTATTGTTAGTTAATTATTAACAATTCTATAACAGAACACCAGAAGGGATTAAAAGAGAAGCAGACAGGTTGCTGACTGGATCAGCCGTACAACACCTGTGTAGTCAGTTTGAATTATTCTGTGCACGGTGAATGAAAAGCCCCACCGAACACCCTGCTCCAACCTCTGGCTGAAAGCTTCTTTACATTTCCAATACATAAACAGATTCATGATGCCACAAACCAGTGTCACCACTGGCAACCAGTATGTGGGACAGCGATAGTCTCCATGTGAAGAGCAGGAGTTTATCTGAGCCTTTAGCAGCTCGGGATGTGTAAACAATGCAAAAAAAAAAAAAAAAAAAAGAAACCTGTAAAGATTCAGTGTTTATGAAGGAACTGTGCACAGGAGAAGTTAATGTGGTGTTTGGGAAAGCTCACTCATCATTTTACCACTGACTATAAATAAATCATCAGTGTCTGATGGTTTCTGCTGGTTCAGACCATCTGAGAAGGACAGGTTTGCATCTCCAACGGATAACCGAATCTTAAAAAACTCTGGCGTAAAAGACAGCAGACAGTACGCATTTCTCCAAGAATTGTTAGGTTTTTTTAATTTTTATTGCAATGCATTTAAACTGTTTCAACAACAAATCAAGCTTTGGACGTGAGCAACATTGTTGTCGTCACATCCACCCTCAGCTTCACAAGAACCCAGAAACAATAAACTTTCTTTTTAAGACAAAAAGTAGAAAATTGTGTTAATGCCTTTGTCAAACTACTTCAACAACCTGAACTAATTTAAAGCTAAAGTTGCAACAAAATCGAGCCTAAAAGACAAACTAGCCTATTTTTCAGACTATAAGTTGCACTTAAAATCCTTTAATTTTCTCAAAAATCAACAGTGAGTCTTATAATCAGGTGCGCCTTATGTATTAACTCTGGTTGTGTTTACTGACCTCAAACTGATTTGATGTGGTTATTGTGAATGAGTTGAATAAAGTTTGACTTATCTGACTGTTTTGTTTCACCTAGTGCGCCTTATAATCCGGTGCACCGTATGTATGAAAACAGACCTGTTCATTGATATTGCGCCTTATAGTCAGAAAAATACAGTAACTGCAACTTTGCTTGCAGTTTCAAAAAGCTTCTAAATGCATGGACTCTTGCACTGTTTAAATTACCCAGACTATTGTCATTTTAATATTCCTTCCTCATTATGGCCTTACATTGGTCATAAAACCAGTATGTTGACATGACTACAAAGCGTGGAGGTAAAACACTCGTAAAGCACGACAGCATGAAACATAAACTATCCAAACTGAGGTGCACGGATGGAACTGCTACTGCTGTACAACATCTGAATGCATCTGTAAAGGAGGAATGTAAAAGGCACTGAAATCTGGTTCAGTTTTCAGCCTGCTATCAGTCCGCCAAGACTTTTGGAGAACGAGCAGACTCTCGACTGTGATGAACTTTCTTCTCCTTCCCAAATGCATCCATTCTGGTGACATTTGTTGACTTTCAGAGGCACGTTAGAAAAAAGTGAATCTGACTGTCAGAAATGTGCCAGCTGCTTGGAACAGGGTTGTAAATGTTACAGCTTTAACACGTACTGTCCTAAATGTTACAGATCAGGTTGTGGTGATATTCAGCAGCACTGAATCCTTCCAGGCCCACGCTCTCCTTCATGGTCTGCAGCAGGAACTACAGTTGGTGAAAATGTTGGTGGTGGTGTCCACAAATCTCACACTTGGTGTATGTGTTGTGAATTCATCACAGCTATGACCACACGAATGTTTAGCACATCTGCAAAATTGACTGAATTGCAAGCGATTTCAGATTATTTAATGTTAAATGGCTCTGGCAGCCATCTTGAATTGGGTTGACTCCAAATCCATCCATTTAACCGTTTCTTCCTTTTCGGGTCGCGGGGGTCACTTGCGCCCATGTCCAGCTATCACTGTGCAAGAGGCGGGGGACACCCTGGACAGGTCTCCAGTCCATCACAGGGACACATAGAGACAAACGAGACAAGCAACCATTCACTCTCTCACTCACACCTAGGGACAGTTTAGAGTTACCACTCAGTCTAACATGCATGTTTTTGGTCTGTGGGAGGAAACTGGAGTACACGAAGATAATCCACAAATGCACGGAGACAACATGCAAACTCCACCCAGAAAGGCCCCCGGCCAGGAGTTAAACTGGCGACCTTCTTGCTGACAGGCGGCAGCACTCCCAACTGCACCACCGTGCCCCCCTACTTGGCAACCCAATTTTATGAAATAATGTTTGTTATGCCCAGATACAGCCACACATTAAAATGGAAGTCGGTGCCTCGCACGTATTTTTCAAGTTGTCATGTTCGCAACATCCGCAGACGGATGGACTGATGGGTGGACAGACAGACGGAAAGGGTGGACAACAATGTAGACATTTTAACAGCCTCCAGTAACTACAGGAAATATTCAGTTACATCTGACTGTCAGCAAAAGGTTTTTGAATAACTAAATGTAGCTCATAGTTTTATTAAAGTGATGAGTCTGAACCAGGAGTGGACTGCTAGTGATTATCTGCCAGTGTGTGTCAGAGTGGAGCTGTTTGTGTTGACGTGAAACCTCCGAATGACCACTGAGGCCGCTGCCTTTATCTCCATCTGCCTCAGGACTTTAGTCTCTCCTCATTCCTAAAGTCAGCTCATGCAAGTTTAAAAAACACAACATGGATGTTTTAAGACACGCAAACCTCACAGAAACCCTAGAAAGCTCCCAACCTTCTTGTTGTTCTGAGCTGCCTCAGCTAAATTCACACAGACTCAAACGTCAATGCTGCTGTATAATATCTGATACCTTTAAATGACTTACTTAGTGTTAAAATAAGTGAAGTAACATAACGAGGGTGTGAAAAACAATATATAAGATATATTCTGAAAATAACACTTGCACATGTTGCAGTTATTTATATCAGTGGTTCCCAACCCTGGTCCTTGAGGAACACCATCCTGCAGGTTTTAGTTGTTTTTCTGCTCCAACTCAACTGATTCAGAGACAGACAGACAGACAGACAGACGTATATACATACACACACACACACACACACTCTATATATATATATATATATATATATATATATATATATACATACATATAATATATATATATATATAATTACTTCCTGCTATTACTTCAAGTTCTGCAGAAGCCTGTTTATCACCTTCTTCTTCTGCTTCTTCTTCTTTTGGTTTTTCCCTCTTCAGGGTTGCCATAGCGAGTCATCCTCCTCCATCTCACCCTGTCCTCCACATCCTCCATCCTCACTCCAACCACCTCCATGTCTGTTAGACAGCTTGTTAATCACCACTTTATTTAAATCAAATCTATAAAAGCATGGAAACAACTAAAACATGCAGGATGGTGTTCCTCAAGGACCAGGGTTGGGAACCATTGATTTATATTATTGTACAAGGCAAAGACAAACAATTATGGTTTTGCCCATGTTTGTGTGCGTTTGTCTGTTAGCAAATTACCTCATAAATTACTGAACAGATTTGAATAATACCTACAGAAAGTAATTATTGGATGGTCCTCTACAACTGATACATTTTTTATTTTCTTAAGAGCATAAAATGACTATACCTCTGTGAATTTTACAGATACTGAGATAAAATTTGGTGTGTTAGATGAGAGTGATTTAGAGCACATGCTTCAAGCTCTAACATAATTAGCATGAGAATGCACATAAAGTTACTTTTAAAGTTTGACTAAAATACCTATAACTTTTTCATTTCTCAACATGATTTTAGACTAAAACTCCAAACATGAAAGGCAGCGGGCGATATGCATTCCTTCAGGAATACAAAGTCTTTATATATGTTCTTGAAAAAAAAAAGTTGGTTTATCAGGATTAAACTTTGTTGACAAATAATATTAACAACAAATTCCACAAAACAGTGTAAGTTGCTGGTGGATAAGCTCGGAGGCCTCGTGTCCTGCAGCCATGTAAAAACGCAGAAACTCAGCGATGATATAAACCTGCAGAAACCACTTCTGTCTTCTTCCCGACAGCCAGAGAAGCTCAGATATAAACACACAGACGGGCCAACGGTAGATCCAGTTGTCTATATCATTAAATCACCGGCTGAGGCTGCAGGGGTGGCAGTGTCCTCAGTGGATGGGGAGTCGGTTTGTGTCCCAGTCCCACTTGTGCTGAGTGTAAACTCAGCCTCTGCAGCAGCTGCTTGCTGCTGTCCTGTGGAGTCGCTGTGGCCTTTTATGGTTGGACTTTCATTTCTTTTGAGGAGCAAACATCAGTGTGTGTTTGTGTGCTCAAGGTGTGTGTGTTTGGGCCATATTTGTTTTGGCACTGTCACCATCAAGCTCATGTTGGACTCTTTTTACAGTTTGACAGAACAAAACAAGGATGGCCTCCCTCTACTACTGAAACTAGTTACTATTAACAAATAAATAGACAAATTGCATTTCCTGTGAAACTGCAGAGTGAATGCTTATTGCTGAAGAGCTTGCTGAAAAAACTGCTGAAATTAGCTAAAAACATGCTGAAATGCAGCTGAAATTGAAGAACAAGCCTAAATTAACAGAAGAAATAAAGCAGAAAGAGCACATTTGCTGAATTAGGTTTAAATAAGCTGAAATGAGCAAAAAAAAAATTGCTGAGAAGTAGCTGAAAAGGCAGAAAGAAGCTTACACTATCAAAATGAAGCAGAAAGAGCTGAAATGATCTAAAAAATGTGGAATTAGCAAAAAAAAGCTAAAATTAGAACAAAAGAGCTAAATTTTAGCTGAATTAGCATAAAAAGCTGAAACTAGCAGAAGAAAGCTGAAAGGAGCATAACAAGCTGAAACAATATAACTTACCACGAAAACTTGAATTTATCTGAAAACAGCTGAAATTAGCTAAAAAATTTCCTGATGCATGCTCAATAATCCAGGTAGAAAAATCTAAAAAAGTTAAATCTGGTCCTCTGGACATTCAAGAAAAAACAAAACAAAGCAAATCAACAAAAAAATGTAGAAACGTTTCGTCTCTCATCCGAGAGACTTCCTCAGTCTGAGGAGCCGCATTCAGCTCAGTCTCCCAAATAGCACCATCTCAGAGTGGATCAACCAGTTTTGCTGCATCGTTCCTCTCCTGGACAGAGAGGAACGATGGTTTGAGAGAGGAGTAAAGGAGGCCATCTTTGTGAAAAGAAATCGTCCATCGTTAAACAGGGGTGGAGGCCTCCGGGTTCAACTGTCCCCCTCTTACAATGCTGTGATTGCTAGTATCACTCAGCCCTCTGTGAACAGTAAACAGCCATCAGTGTGCTAATGACCCATTGTTAGGCTGATGGTCCTTCTTGAGCATGTGATCAGCTGGTTTTGGTTGTCAGCAGCAAAACTGGTTGATCCACTCTGAGATGGTGCTATTTGGGAGACTGAGCTGAATGCGGCTCCTCAGACTGAGGAAGTCTCTCGGATGAGAGACGAAACGTTTCTACATTTTTTTGTTGATTTGCTTTGTTTTGTTTTTTCTTGAATGTCCAGAGGACCAGATTTAACTTTTTTAGATAGCTAAAAAATTGCTAACAAAGTAGCTGAAAAAGTAGAACAATCTTAAATTAGCAGAACGCAGAAAAAACACGCTTACTCAATTAGTCTGAAAGAAGCAGAAATGAGCTCAAAATGTGCTGAAATTATCTGAAAAAAGCTGAAATTAGTTAAAAAAAAAAACAGCTGAAAGTAGCTAAAAAGCAGAAAGAAGCATAAAATACCAGAAGGAAGAGAGAGCACAATTTTGCTGAAAGTTGAAATTAGCACAACAAATGTGGAATTAGCTGAAAAGGCTAAGTTTAGCATACAACCATATAATAGCTGAAATAGTAGAAAAAGCTGAAACTTGGAGAAATAGGCTGAAAGGAGTGTAACAAGCTGAAATGAGAAAGAAAGAAGTTAGAAGCACAAAAATGTTGTAGTTAGCAGAAAGAATCTGAAAGGAGCACAAAACAGCTGAAACAAACAGTTGAAATTAGCTGAAAAAAGTTTAAAATTGCACAAGGAAGCTGAAAGAAGCAGAAACAGAACAAAATGTGAAAGGAGCAATGAAAGGTTGTAAACACATCTAAAGATGTCAAGGATGTAAAATGAGCTCAATTCATTTTCTATGAGAAAAAAAAGTGGCAGAAAAGGCTAAATATTTTAAAAAGCTAAAGCTGCACCAATACCAAAAGCCATAGCAGGATTGTCCTGAAAGAGCTGAACGTTTTGATAAATTTGTTGAAATAGCTTGAAAACTGCGGGACAAGAATCACACTGAAAAATGTACAGAAGAAAAATGGATCATAATAGTATGAATGCTTCATAAACATCCACACACTTAAACATTTAAAGGCTGATACTTTATTGATTCATTACACTTGTGCATTATGCTTTACCTACGTTGTATTAGTTTCATTTATTTGGTTATTATTGTTTCTATTTTTCAGAGTTTGAATTCTACAACAATAACCTCACATTTTCTGTCTGCTCAGCATCTGTCGTATCTCCATTTAATTTGAAACAATAAAATGTTATTGACTTGAAACAAAAACTACTTGAAACAATGTGACAAATTAATACAATTTTAGCTGTTGATAAAACACAAAAGTATTAAAACTGTTGATATCGTTTGCCTCAGTCTGAGGCACCTCAGCACCTCAGACTGAGGAAGTCTTTCGGATGAAAGATGAAACGTTTCTACATTTTTTTTGTTTTGCTTTGTTTTGTTTTTTGAATGTCCAAAGGACCAGATTGAACTTTTTTAGATTTTTCTACCTGGATTATTGAGCATGCTTCAGAATGCAAGACAACGTTGAGAATGTAAAGTTTAAAAACAAATATTGCTCATTTGCTCTGCTACAAAATTCAAAGGACTTTGGTTATGTTATTCCACTTTGGTCTTAAACTACTTGTCATTTAATTCTGCCAATTTCTATAAACTTAGGCTGTTGATTGAGGTATCCACAACAGGTAAGATAGTGACTGTTCATATAACTTCATCACAGAACTCCAGTTCAAAAGACCTGAGCTATCAACTTAAACTGCAATTTATTTATTTATTGAAACTGACAGTATGCAGTTTTGGAAAGAGGCAAACTTAATTTATCTTGAGCCATCTAAAAACACATCAGCACCTTTCTATAAAACAATCTGTATATCTGAAGGAACCTTGTACTCTTTGAGTGTTTTATTAGAAGCTTACAGTTCACTATAACATTACAACTAGTTTGTATATTAAGCCAAAAATATGTTGTTCTTTTAAAGCAGCCTTTACAAAACATTATGGATGCTGTGCAGACAACACACAAATGTATCTACAGCAGGTAAGATATTATCAATTCATAGCCTTTCCACAGAACCCCACTTCCAAAGAGCTGAACTATCAGCTGAAACTTTGTTTTTCTCTTAACAGTAAACCCGAATGTTGTGTTCCTTGTTATACAGTTCAGTCTTTAGGTGTTTTTGAAATTAAAAAAGAGGATGCTGACCAAATATGAAACAAGTGAGGTCACATGTTTTAGCAGCTCATCACAAGAGGAACCTGAGCTTCATATGATAATCGGACTTTTCTAACGAGTTGTTTCTCACATGTATGGTCACACCTTTTGGTTTGAGACAGACGAGCTGCCGGCCCGCAGCACAACCCACACTGAGCACGACGGTGATCATTTCTGGGTCGACAGTGTTTGGTGCCAGCACGACACAATGGAAAGTGCAGCTTGTACGGCACATCTGACAGATGCCGCGTGCAGATAAACCCAGATCAGTGTCAGGTCTGTGCAAACATCACAACAAACTGTCAGGTCTTTGATGGGAAACACTGAGCTGCACAGATGAAGCGATGCCTCGTGAGAGAGACAACAGGGGTCCAAGAGGCAGAAAGATGACTCCATTTCAAAAAGTCATAAAGGTTTTACATTTTACACACAGGTCCAAACGTCTCACTTCACTCTGAGACAAACTTCCACCTGACAGGCTGCAGCCGTCACCCACCACACCACAACCACGTCAAAAAACAGCAAGCACTGCGTGTGAGTGGGCGCCGAAGAGAAGCAGAGACTAAAATATCAGGAGATCTCAGGGGGGCCGTGTCCTGTCCTGCTCCCCCCCCAAGCTGGTTCAGAACCTGCTCAGAACCTCTGACTCTGGACCAAGACGTGAAAGCAGATTACCTCTCTTGAAGGACCATCTCTTCATCCAGAGTTTAGAGAAGGACGGCCAGGAGTGATTGAGAGGCGAGTCGGCCATGCTGCGCAGGGAGGAGGCCAGCTCGAAGTGGAGCTCGCTTGCAACTGGGAGCTGTGGCATCCAGCGACAAGAGGAGGGAGGGAGGGAGGGAGGGGAGGCGAGGCGAGAAGCTCAGAGCTGCTGGTTGGGGGTTTACTTACAGCAGGGGAAAATGAAAAAATAAAGAGTAGGTGTGGTGAAGGGTTCAAACAAGAACAAGTGACTCTTAGAGAAAGAATATTTGACTGTTTTCCTTTGGCAGCTGCTCTAACCCTGCTGGACATCTACGACTCACTGAGTGTTGGAGTCAGCCCAACTCAACATGGCCGCCACAGCTAATTCAATTAACAAACACAAAAATGGCTACAACCTTGTCATTCTTATTAAACTCAAATTTAGTGTGGTAGTAGCTGAGTGTTATCCCCAACACAAGTCTAAGAGCTGTACTGTGTGATATACTTCAAAACATTGTTGGCATCAACCATGTTTGTCTGTTAGCAAAATATCACACGAGCCACCACGACTTTTAACGAAACTCTTAAGGAAGTAATCACTGGCTGTACTTCTGCAACTGATGGAGTCAACTCAGTTCAAGATGGCTGCCGCAGCTAATCAATCAATATTTGCCAAAGACCAAAAAGTAGGTACAGAAGGAGAAGAAAATGTGATTTGAAGTTGGTTTTTTTAAAGATTTCAAAAGAAAAATTGTGGCGTTGAAATGATACTTTTCCACTTGTGAAATGTAACTGTTTCTGAGAGAAGGAAGTGAAGTCACTGAGCACGGAGAACATTGTCTCTTTTCTTTCTCTTGTCCACTCACAGACACAAGAACACATCTTAACTGAAGACACAAAAGAATTCAAACGTTTCTACAACAAAACTAAAATGACTGCTCGTTCCTGCAGCAGTTTGACCTTTAGGGTCACCATTGTGTTTTTCACTAACGCACAACAGGTGTCAACTTCCTGCTTGTCCTCAGACAGGGAAGCAGAACCAAACTATAGAGAAGACAGGTGGAAATATTGTTCAACAGAACTCACAACATGCGCAGGCAACAAGCCGTCCAGATGAATGCAGGAGGCTGCACAAGTTTCTGCTACAAACACACAAGGAGGCGCTCACTTTAGATGAAACTGCAGCCGACAAAAGGACGACAGATGAATCCTTCGCTTTAAAATCCAAAACAAAGAAGGAAAGACGTCGGAAGTCATTCAGGTTGACAGCAAGAACCCTAGTCCTCCAACAGAACCAACCAGCTGCTTCCTCTTTTTGTCATTCTGTGCAGCTGAGTGGCTCACGCGCACACACACACACACACACACACACACACACACACACACACACACACACACACACACACACACACACACACACACACACACACAGCAGTGCTGCTGTGACACGAGTTGTGGCAGCTGACACACTTTATAACAGAGCAGCAGGTCTGAAGCAAAGTCCTGAGCTGAAAATGAGTGACGTATTGTCAGTAAAATAATTTATGGATCAAACTAAGGCAGAGCGTCTGTTTGAATGTATCTCTGAGAAAAACACTTAAAGCTTCATCGACAGAGGGACTAAGAGTTTTGACACTGTGGACCATGACATCTTATGTCATAAGCTCTCACACTGGTTTCTCAGATCACACACATCGTCAAGCTGGTTTTCTAATTACCGGTATCTCAGATCGGAAGCAATGTGTTCATCATAATGGTACTTCTTCCAGTGGTGTACCACAAGGCTCTGTCTTAGGACCCACTCTTTTTACAATAAGTAAAGTAGGTCAGAACATTTCTGACGCATCCTTGCATTTCTGTGCTGACACAATAGTTTATTGTCGAGCTAGAACAGTCGCTAAGGTTTTCCAGCTTTTACAGTCTGCATCAACATCAGTCCAGTCAGATTTGTTTCATCTCAAACTGGTGCTAAACGCTGACAAAACCAAAGGGATGTTGCTTTCAAACAGAAGGTTAGTACCAGCAGTCCTTCCTTCCTATCTACACATGGTGTTGAATTTGTGGATTTTTACAAATACTTGGGAAACTTGGTCGATGCACATTTCTTTTAAACCTCATGTTGAAAACTTGATAAAGAAATTGAAAGTTAAACTGGGTTTCTTTTTCAGAAATAGATCCTGTTTAATTCTTAATGATAGGAAACGTCTTTAACTGCGACTTTCCTCCCCTCCGTTGATGCCATTATCTACATGAACGCTCCTGCAAGCACTTGCAAATGTTGGTCACTGTCTATCATGGTACGCTAAGATTTATAACTGGCTGCAACTACCGTACCCTTCATTGCACACTGGTTAACTGGACATTAACTTCACGCAGACTCTCCCACTGGTACATTTTCATCTTTAAATCACTTCTTGGTCTGTTGCCTTCATACATCTCCTTCATACATCTAGTGCAGCTACAGCGTGTGTTCTCAAGACATCATTACCTGCAGTGTCCTCTCAATGTGGACTGAATTCGGCAAAAGGGTTTTCTCCTACTCTGCTCCTGTTTCCTGGAACACTTTGCAAAAAGATCTGAAGCTGTTGACCTTGACCTCTCTAAGGGATTTTAAACAACTGTTAAGTTCAATGCAAAAATCAACGCAGACATGTTCCTGTTTTTAGTATTTTACCCCATTTCATAATGTAGCTTTTGTTTTTATCACTTATTTTATTTACTTTTCATTTTATATACTTTTTTTTTTTTTTGGCTGTTTATTGTTGTGTGTACCTTATTTGTGGTTTAGTTTAAAACAGGTCTCTTGAAAATGTGTCCTCGTGGCTCAATGGGACTAGCTGTTTAAATAAAGGTTGAATGAATAAAACCCAGCATTTTTCACACAAGGTGAGTTTTAGTCAGGATTCCTGAGCTTCAGATCTGAATCAGACCAGTTTTTAATGCAGTACCACCTCAGGGCCTGAAGATCTAAAATGACCTTTCAGTCTTTGTTCACAGGTTTCTCCAGGTTCTTGAACTCAAGACTTTGAAGATCTCATCCTCTGCAGTTCATAAAGTCTTCCCAACTTATCGATTAACATCATCCTGAAATTGTCCATTTGAGTTAGTTTGCAGATCAGTAAACCTCTGCCCGTCTTTAATTCTGATTCAGCAGGTTTCTTACTAACCTGCTGCATCCAAACAGATGTTTCAAAATGCTCCTCCAGCTGTTTCTTATTAATCCCACTTACATTTACAGCATTTTGTTGCCTCTGCCCCAACTTGCGTACTGCTGCAAAACAATTTAAAATGACTTTTTCCCATCCCAAAATGGTATGTTTTAAACATGTGATTTGTTTGTTTGTGGTACTGTGTGGCTAATTTACTCAATTTGACCTAAACGAGGCAATGAATGTGCATCTGTTAGAGTTTCTTTTGCAGCTGTGTTGTGTAGGAAAATGTGGGCTCATGCTGACACGGTGCCGGGTCGATGAGAAGAGTAAAGAAAACACTTTAAAATGATCCTAAACGAAGAGATTTTCTCTTTTTAAACGAACCACAGCTAAACATCCAATTTGTAAACTTTATTTCCATTTGTTCTTCTCAAATATACGTTTTCTGGAAAAAAAAAGGCACAAAAAAACCCCCATCTGCTTCTAGTGAAATAGTGCAAAAAGACACATCCTCCTTTAATTTGTTTCATAAATTTAATATAAACAGTTAATTGTAGAATAATTTACACAGCAAGATCATTGCAATATTTTCTTTACATGTCACTACTCTCCTTGGAAAACATAGAAAAAATAAATCGAGCGCTTTTTCTTCTAAAGTCATGGCACATCTTTTTGATCCTGTAAAGTCTGATTTCTTTCCATCTACGTTTGTGAGTGAACTCAACGTGTCGATATCTGTGGTAGATAAAGATAATGGCACATTTGGATCCAGTGTGAGGGAGGGGGATAAAGCCATCTCTGTGGGTTTGGACAACAAACGCCTGCACAGCATCTCGTCGTCACATAAACACAATATTACCCTCAAAACGAACACATCTGCAGTAAATATATGAACCAAGAGGTTTCCTGCAAGACTGAATGAATCTGGAACCACATGTGCATCGAGAGGCTTGAAGACAGAGGAGGAAGAGGAGCGACCAGACAGTCAGCTCTTCTGATTTGAGCTACAGCACAGGAGACAAGATGAAAAGGATTTTTTTTTTAAACTGGAGACGACCACAGATCAACCCAAAATCATTGGATGAGAGGTTTGATGCCACCTCATCTGATACGATCTGATTAGCCATTTGTGTTACTTCCTGTTTGATCCATTTAATTTGACTGTATTCACAGCAGTTTTACATCTTCTGTGGTCGTTTCCAGTTTCTTTTTCACCTCCCTTAATCAAAACATTTACAAAACCACATGCTCCAATAGAAGGAGTCTATGTGAGACAGTAGAAAAGGCTCTGCGGCTGACGTGTTGCCTGGACCGACATTCAGAAACATGCTTGATTAAGAGCAAATAGTTAGAGGCCACATACTGTTTATATATTGTGTTATAACAGCCCTCGGACTGGAGTGGTGCTGCTGTTCTTAAATACATGGACAGGCTCTAAACGGGTGTTTTATCCTGCATGGTGTCATAAAAACAAAAAAAAAACAATATTCTCAAATTTAGAAAAAAGCTTTACATACATTGATAATGACAAATTATGTACAAGAAGTAGTAAAACTTTACAGTCGGGGAAAAAAAAAGTATTTGGGCTAAAAAAATAGAAATGAACATCTCTAAAATGTAATACTTTTCTTTAAAATAAAGCAATAATGCACGGTTGTTTTCACCGTGCGCAGCATGCTCTGACCAATCAGAGTTCAACAAGGTTTCCCTAAAACCACGTGGGGTCAAAATGTTATTTACAAGTTTTTAAAAGCTTATTAATCATCTCGTTCGTTTTTTTTTTTTTTTTTAACTACGCTACAAATGAATGCATCTCAAAACCAGTTTGTAGTCACTGGTTGCTAAATGTGGAGGGTTCCTGCGTGTGCTTTTGGGGGGGTGTCGCTGATGAGAAGCAGAGATCTGTGATCATCTATCAAGCTTTTTTGTTTTCTTCTTCCATGCACAAAGCAAGCTCGAGTTCAGCAGAGTGGAGACGAGTTCTACATTTTCTCTTTGTTTTTTTCTGTGAGAATCATCGTCAAACCCCAAATTACAGGATTTTATTTTATTGTTTTGCACTTACTGCTGGGGGAAAAAAAAAAAAGCACAAGCATAAAGACGTGATTTTTATTTCAGGTTTGGAGATGGTTCTAGACATGCCAGTCTGAGAGTGGGGACGACTGTTCAGACCGGATGGGAGGGGTCAGGAGTGACATTTAGTCTCAGCAAGGCACTTTATGGGTGGGGGGGAGGGGGGGTGGGTTGTCCCGTTTGCTTTGCCACTCCTGACCTGCAATGCCCCATCCGGCCACTAGAGGGCAGCCAGAACCACATCACGTCTGAGTTGCGGAAAAGCGGATTCCTGATTATCTTCGATAAGGATTTGTTTTTAATGAAAACTTGCGCTTCGGTTAGAGCGGACAAAAGGTCGGTCACTCTTCCTCCTCATCGTCCTCTTCATCCTCGAAACACAAAGCATCAGGCCGCCTCCCTGAGACGAAAACTTACAATCTAGATTTTGCGTTTAAGAGTTCTTATGGCACACAGGATTGTCCCAGTCCTTTGCAGAGGGGCAGAGAAGGTCCTCCTCTTTCATTTTTATCTTTTCCATCCAGCCCACGTGCGTCCTGATCAACAGACCCAATCCACGGCATCGACAGAAAATAAAGGTCATCTCTTGATATTCACAGTAGATTTTTTTTTTTAAATACACAAAACACAATCAGAACAGAGAAACAAACAGTCGGAGGAGATACGGGGTTTTGATTTGTGGGGTTTACAAAAGGTCCATGACTGACTGAGCATCAATAGCTTTGGCTGCGTAGACGAGCAGGTACCGTCCAGGCGCTGCAGAGAAGCAGTCTGGACGGAAACGGCCTCTTCTGGTGCCCCGTGGGGGTGGGAGCAAAATAAACTAGTCAAGGGTCCAAATCACTTCCTGATGGTTTTTTTAAACAAAGTGCTACAGCCTAGAGAGCAAGATAACGTTTTAACAGCAAAACAAGCTGCAAAATCCAAACATTTCACATCAAAATGGCCTTGATTTGAACTCCAGACAGAATTATTTTAGAGCTCCCCCAGAGACACAAGAAGAAGAAAAACACAGACAGGAGAGGACTCAACACAACAGATGGAGGGAATAAAAAAAAACTATCAAAGGGGTGCAGGTAATGTACAATAAAATGATGTTCTCTGCTATGAAGGAGGCAGTGTGGGGTGACTGAGGCTCTTTGAACCGATTCCTCCATTTGCACTGAGGTAGACTCTGGCCAAACAAAAAGACGAAGACAATCTAACTTAGAATAAAAGAGAGCTCCCTGCTGTTCACCACAGATTACTGCACCTGGGGAATAAAACACCTCTTCATATCGCTTCACGCTTCAAAACCTCCCGGACCAGACCGATAATCCTAACGAAACAAATGTGCGTTACTCAAAAGACGTGGATACTGACTTGATTCAAAAGTTGCACAATCTAAATTATGCACCTCTCACCTGTGCAGACCACATCACGAGTATTTGAATCGCTTCCATTTTCTAATCTATTTCACAGATTATTTTTCTATCGAAAGAGCTGAGATAGCAGCTCCTCAGAGTATTTGCAAAAATCTAAACCGCAAACTCAATAGCGTCACAAATCCTCTGTGAGGGCCTGAACCTGACAAAAGCTGCAACAATAAAATAAACAGGATTCCTTTTGGTAAAAGTGTTAAAATGAACCCATGCATGCGCTGCAGCCTGCTCCTGCATGACACCGGGTACTACACAGTGTCTGAAAGGACAGGCACAACTATGGAGGCAGCTTCTCCGAGTTGAATTTGTTTGTTGTTGGCAGGAGGTCACAATACACTTTGGCTTTTCTGGAAATGTTCCTTTGGATCAATCTCACTAATAAAGAACAAAAGTTTAATAATTGGTCATCTGATCGCTGGCTTACCAAATATGGGGTGTTTCCTGAGAGGGATCAAGTTGTTTAAAAGATGCGAGCAGATGGGGACAAACGCCAAGGAAACGCTCGAGTAGGCCTGTCACAATAACAAATTTTGCTGGGCAATTAATTGTCTCATAAATTATTGCGATAAACGATAATATTGTTTGAAATTTGACAATAATTACGAATTATTGTCAAATTTAAGTTAGTTAATTTGTTTTGACTGTAGTGTCTTTTTTCAACCACTAGATGGCAGTATAAGACTGTTTGAACAGAAGGATGGATAGTGAGGGAGCGAGCAGCGTGTCTCTAAAAAAACTGGGAAGCCCCTTGATGTGACATGGGTTCTCTCTTCGATTCTCAAAATGGCGCACGCTCGGTGTGGTTTGAGCTCTTTAGCATAGCATTATTCACGCAAAGCTTTTAATAAAAAAAAAAATCAGTAAACAAGTTCTCACCTTCTTTTTGCTGAGAAAAAACTTTTTACATGAAGGCACGGGTTTCAACCGTTTATTTTGGAGCTTCAACAAGACGGAGGTTTTTCCTCCGCGGTCGGCCAGTTAGCTTAGCTCGTAGCTTAGCTGCTTTTAATGATCCAAAAACGCGATTTTGGACGGTTAAAATGGATTTTAATGATAAAATAGAAAGGGAGGGGTCGGTGAAGAGCACAGAGTTTCCTTTTGTCATCCAGTGTCTTCAGTAGAAAGAGAGAGACATGAAGAAACGATAAAACCGATAAATGAAAATGAGGTCGAGAATCTTCTTTAATCATGCGATTAATTGTTTTATTGTTTATTGCGACAGGCCTACGCTCGAGATCTTTGTTAATCTTTTTAGACCGTAAGCAGCCACTGGTTAAGAGAATAAAAATGTAGTGGGGTGTGGTGATAGTTAAAAAACACCAAGAGTTTGAAGTGAATTTGGCAGCTGTGGCACACGGTGTTCTGAACACTGTGTGTGACAGGACGACCTCACGGTCCCCACCGCTCCCTCCGACATAACCATTTTCACGGACAAAAACGAGCCAACTGGGATCACAAAGACATAACTCCCAGCATGATATGACCAGAGAAAGGCAGCGGATTGAAAACTACAACCTCATTTCTCTTTGTAAAGCTTTAAATCGCCGATATGTGTTAGTTGCTTCCAAATACTGCGAGTGTGAACAAGGTTTGTAGAAAGTGAAAACGATGAGTCTAAAGAGGTTTTTTTTCCTGATCCAGATGCAGCGAGGAACGAGAAGGAAGCTGGAGATTTGAGTCACAGAGCGCCGACGCAAGATTAGTGTGATTTCTGGGACTACGGACCAAAACAAAATAAAAAAAAAAGAGAAAATCTGATCAAATAAAACACAAATAAAAGCCTCTAAAGGAAAAAAAAAAGCGTTACAAATATAAACAACAATATGTACAAAAACAATGTCATACAGTATATTATATATAAAATATTGGTTGGGAAGCACCAATATTTCATATATACTATTCATATTATATAAATTTATATATTTCTACTAAAATATATCAAAGCAGCAGCTATTGGTCAGTCTGACGAAATCTTTTTGTCCAACTTTTTACTTTAAATATCCTTCAGCCACATAGTGAGAACAGAAATAATAAAGGAAGGGGGGGGGGGGGGGAGTATAAAGCCAATAAATTAAATCTATTTACCAAATACCTGATGATTCTGTGTGTAGTTTGGAATTCCAAAAACAAAACCATTTCTCTGGGAATAGACGTTTGTTCTACGATCGAGTCTTTGCATATCATCCCACTGATTTGAGTAGAAAAGGAAACGAGTTTGAGCGACGAGATTCTTTCTTTGTAGGCCACATTTTAAAAGGCCACTATCTGAATAAAAGATTTCATTTAGAGAAACAAAAAAAAAAGGGGAAAACATATTTCACAGAAATGTGGAAATGCAGATTGGTGGAAGAGAAAGAGACGAGTCTGAGCAGCCTTCTTGGTTGGCTATAAAGTCTGTTGTGTTCACAGTTTTTGTTTCGTTTCATTATGAATTCCCACAACCCCCCCCCCCCCATCACAAGAACTACTGGAAACACGGCCGTCTCTCGCAACAGAGTCTGCCATTATGAAGTCTGATGTGTCGTGGAGCAAGTTGTAAAAAAAGTGTTTGCATCCCTTGCTTGCCTGTGCTCGGCAGCCACGAGGAAGAAAATTAAAAGTCCTGAGATTTGTGTCTTTTCTTCTCTGAGAACAAGAAAATCATTCAAACCATGAAAGACACAGAAAAAAAAAACCCAACAGACTGGAAGAGAGAAAGAGTGGAGGGTGGCAAAGGTGAAACAAGTCACTTCAAAGTAAATGTTAGGAGGGGCTAGATCTGGGCAACGATAAGATTCTTCCGTTCTTCTTGCCACCGTTCATGTGCGTGTAGGGAACGTGCTCCTCGTAGTTCCCCCTCAGGGCCACCGAGGGGGCGCTGTCCCTGCCTAAGCTCTCCTCTCTCTGGGAATAAGAAGAAGGGTCCAGCGGGATGCTTTCCATATTGTCCAGGTCCAGGTCGAAGTCCTCCGTCTCGGGGACTTTGTTCTCCTCACTGTAGAAGAAGGAGACCTCCTGGAAGGACGGGTGCAGGTCGTCCCGCAGCATCTCGATGATTTCGAGGAACGTCGGGCGCATCTTGGGGTTGTACTGCCAGGACATCTGCATCAGGCTGTGGCTGGAAATGTTCAACCAAACAAAGAGAAAGAATGATTTTAGAATGATCGTGTTAGAATGTTATAAAAACAGTCTATACTATCATCTATACAAATATACATTTCTATAATAGGTTACAATTGATTCTTCTATGATAAAAACTATTAAAAATTAATTTGGACTCATTGTTTAGGAAGTTTTGATCTTAATTCTCACCAAACAGTGCCACCTACTGACAAGAATCTGCAGTTTGACAAAAAAGTGAACTTGGTTATAAAGTCCATGCTCAATAATCCAGATATACAATCCAACAATTTTCAGTCGGGTCTTCTGGACAGTTTCTTTTTTTTGTGCTGAAACGTTTCGCCTTCGATCCGGAAGGCTTCATCAGTCTTGGATATATATATATATATATATATTTTAGGATCCAGTAACTGCTGCTGTATCAACTTTATCAGTTGTTCTGCTGCTTTCAAGTGATCAAAGTATGTTTTTTTCAAATTTGTATTTACTCCCCTAAACTCTAATAAGAAATACTCTGGTAAAGTCAACACAGATTGTGATGCGAGGTCACGTGAGTCTTGCAGCCTGATGCTTTCTCTCTTGGGAAGATTCATGATGTTGAAAATAAAATTAAAAATAAAAATCTAGTTGGTATTTACATCCTCTCAGGGCAGTTCTCTGGTCGGTCCAGGTATCCTCCATCCATGACGAACTTCAGGACCTGCTCATTGGATAAACCCTGGTAAGGCTGCTCTGCTAGAGTGCTGATCTCCCACAGTACAACTCCAAAAGACCTGCACACATGCATGTACACACACACACACCATGTGGTTACGGGTTACACGTATGCAGTCAGAATATCAAGCCTTCACCGCTGGTTGCTGAGGTGTGACCTACCAGCAGTCGGAGTGGGCTGTGAAGACTCCGTCCTTCAGAGACTCTGGAGCCATCCACCTGACAGGAAGCAGACCTTTCCCTCCTTTACGGTAGTAGTCTGTCTCGTAAATGTCCCGGGTCATACCGAAGTCTGACAGTGGGCGAGACAAAGAATTGTCAGCCAAAATCCACTTCAGCACCTCTTTACGAGCTAACCTGCGTGTGGGGGACACAGCAAAACAAAGCGAGCACAAACATCTGTACCTCCAATCTTGACGGTGAAGTCCTCAGCCACCATGCAGTTTCTGGCTGCCAGGTCTCTGTGGACAAACTTCTTGGCATTGAGGTAGGCCATGCCGTCTGCGATTTCTGCTGCCATCTGCAGCATGTCCTTTAGAGTAGGAGGAGGAGAGCCCGACGGGTTGTTCTGCAAGCCACACAGAGGTAATCAATTCAGTTTGTCAAATATGTGAAAATCTCACAACTACACAACTTTTATTGTGGTCATCTTCTCCAATCTGGACATTTTTTATATTATGTCTTTAATTTGATGAAATTAGGCTTTTCTGGGTTGTTTTTTGTTCAGAATGAGTAGATAACCAAAAGGACGTACCTCAGAGTCTGGCCTCAGACTCCGCAGGTAGCTCTTCAGGTCACCGTGAATCATCAGCTCCATCACAACCAGAGTGGGCTGACCTTTGGATACGACCCCCAACAGACGCACCTGCAAAACAAACAAAAACAGACAATACATTAAAATAATATTCAGCTGTTTTAGACAAATCTTGAAAATGATGTTAGGAAAGATTTCAGTCTCAAAGTATGGTGGGGATCACTCAACTATAACCACATCACACATTAGCTTGATACCTGTAAAAAAAGTTAGTCATTTTTTGTGTTTGCAAAGGTCGATTAGCTGAAGTAGCCAGCCTGAACTGGATTGATTCTAAAAGTAAATCAATTTTCTAAAGATTTCATTCAAATCTGACAAGTGGTTCATAAAATATTTTGCTAACAGTTTACTACAATAGTTATTTTAAAGTTTTAAACAAAGCTTGCATGATCTGTTTTAGTATTTAAATGTATTAGGAGGACTCTTGTCTACTAAGATGCCAAATTTAAACTCAATGTGCACAAAATTTTACTTTAAATATTGAAAAACTTTTTTTTCTTCTTCTAAAGTTTAGCCTATAAGCTGAATTTATTTCCAATTAAATGAGTTGAAATTTGAAGTAAATTAGACCAAGTGGCAAAAAAAATAAAAATAATTTTGTGAGAACTTGTCACCAAAGCTTAACCACACAATTACCGTTTCATTTTTAATCTGCGGGCACAAATAAAAAGGTTAATGAAAATTACCTTGTGCCAGACAAAGTAAATTGCTACACTCAGTAACTTTTCAAATGCGTTACAAATAAAACTTTAGTAACAGCTGCTTACTAATCTGACACATGAATAAATCACTGCTCCAAAAATATTGATCCTCCTCTCTTCACATAGTGAATAACCATCTCAGCATGGGTTTGTGCAGTTGACAGGACAACATGTGGCATTTTAATTGGTGCTTAGTAGGTCATGTAATGAAACCGACATGGCAGCCACGGTCCCTCGCCAAGTGTGAACATTTGTTTTGGAGTCAAACTGTGTCAATATGGCCGCTTCAACACAACAAGCAAGTCATGATTCTCTGAGTCACTCGCTGCTTTCAGGCACAAGAAGAAGAAGAAGCTGTAATAGACTGTATCTGACGAACGCACGGAGAGCCGCCTCAGCATGTTGGAGTTTAGAACTGAAGCAGGATTTCATGAATACAGTTTAAAAAGGGTCATTCGTACCACGTGGTGACAGCTGAAGGCCTTCATGACCGAAGCTTCGTTGAGAAATTCGATTCTCTCTCGCAGGCTGGCCGATTCGTTGACCGTCTTGACGGCGACGCGAGTCTCAGATTCTCCTTTGATGATGTCTTGAGCGATTCCTTCGTACACCATGCCGAAGGAGCCCTGACCTAGCTCTTTGAGCAGCGTGATCTTCTCCCGCAGCACCTCCCACTCATCAGGAACATACACTGCACAAAACACACACACAAACCTAGAACCTGCCACCTGCAAATAATACGCCTTTTGTTCTAATTATCCAAGTCTCAGCAAGCTAACAGGTAAATACAACAAAAGTTGTCAAACGTAAATAAAAACAGAACCCGGCGGTTTGCAAATCTGATAAACAGTTTACTGATAATGGGAAATAGTAACCATATTAAATGTTTAAACAAAGCAAATTTAGAAATGTTTTGCAGCAACAAATGTCTAAATAGATGGGACAGGGCCAACAAAAAGCTGTCAAAGTAAGTAGTGCAAACAAGAAACAGATGGAGGAGCATTTTGCAATTAAAAAGATGAAATGGCAACAGGTCAGTAGGAGGACTGAGTTTAAAAGAGCATTTTTGATAGACTGGAAATTTGGGAAGACTTCAACCAGTCAAACAGGTTCAAGAATCTGGAGAAACTCCTGTGGTCAAATGACAAGGATGAAAGTTAAAACTGGAGACCTGTGATCACTGGGCCTCAGGTGAAACTATTAAAAACAGGTCCGATTCTTATCTAGACATCACTGCATGGGCTCATTCCAAATCATTGTCTGTAAACACAGCTTACTGTGCCATCCACAAATGTTGGTTAGATACGGTTCTAACATGCAAAGAAAAAGCCAAATAAACACCACCCAGAAACGCTGCCGTCTTCTCTGTGTCAAAGCTTTTAAAAATGGACTCAGGCAAAGCGGAAACTGATCGGTGGTCAGACAAATCAAAATTGTAATTTATTTGTTGTAAAATTGTGAATACCGTGTCCTCTCTTCTAAAGAGGAGAGTGATCATCTAGCTTGTCATCAGCACACAGTTCAAAACCCTGCCTCTCTGATGGTATGGAGGTGCATTTCTGCCAATGGGATAGGCATCTGACACATCTGGAATGGTAACATCAATGCAGAAAAGTATATACTGGTATATATGCTCCCGTCCAGACAATGATTTTTTCAGAGAACATCTAGCAAAACAATACTAGACTACATAAACATCATGTCTTAACAGTAGAAGAGTCCTTGTGCTGAACTGGCCTGCCTGCAGTCCAGACGTCTCACCAATTGAAAGCAACTGGCACCTCATGAAATGAAACATCGAGCAAGGAAAACTCAGAACTGTTCCATAGTGAATAAAATATGGGATTATGAGATTTGCAAAACATTTCATTCTGGATTTATTTACATTTTACACAACATCCCAACTTTTTCAGAACTGGGGTTGTACACAGAAAGCAAGATTGTCAAGCACTGTTGTTATGCACAAAGTTTGTTTTCTCAGTCATCCAGGTATATAACAACAAAAAAGGTTGAATCATGTCATCTGGACTTCGTTTTTTTGTTAAAAAGAAACGTTTCGCCCCTCATCCAAGAGGCTTCGTCAGTCTGAGGCCTAGCCATCTGGTATTACCCAGAAGCCACCCTGACTCTTGTGTTTCAAGCCTGCCTCAGATACCCGTTATATACCTGGATGACTGAGAAAACAAACTTTGTGTTTTTGAAACCATTAGTGAAAAGGCCAGACTTCAGGGGTATCTGAGGCAGGCTTGAAACACAAGAGTCAGGGTGGCTTCTGGGTAATACCAGATGGCTAGGCCTCAGACTGACGAAGCCTCTTGGATGAGGGGCGAAACGTTTCTTTTTAACAAAAAAACGAAGTCCAGATGACATGATTCAACCTTTTTTGTTGTCACTGTTGTTATGGTTTCTATAAAAATGTTTTCCTTACTGTCGCTGGCGCTGAAGTATTCAGGGTTTGGTGAGGTGATGAGGTCTCCAAGCGGGCCTTCTGTTTGCCTGCAACACAACCACACAATAACTGAGATGTTGCAAACTAAAAGTTTATCCAGCGTGGCTTTAATCCATTCATCTTCAGTATGCTTCTTAAAAACAGCTGGACTCACAGTATTCAGATTGGTCTCGTAACTCACCTCTTCCTGATGATGTAAAACACACCACCTGCTACAAACAGCAGCAGGATGAGGCAGATGACCGGACCCATCACAATCCAAACTAAACCTGGATCAGCTGCAGTAAAAAAATAAAATAGACGGTCATTTCAGTTCAAGAATAGACAAACCAGCTTTAATATGGAAACAAACTTAAATAGCTTTGATACAAAGTGGACAGCTTTGAGGGAAATGAGTCAGTAGTCTTACAGCTGGGCATGAAGAAATGCGTTGTTTCTGTAAAAGAGCCATTTCCTGCCAAGGAGGTAGCCCGGACCCTCACGCTGTAGTTTCCAGGGTGAACGAGGTGAAGCTTCATCCCATTTGTCTTGAGATAGGCTGGCCGAGACACACAAGCAGTGTGGTCCTGGACAAAACGAGAAAAATATTGTTCAGCTTCAGTGATAAAGATGTGAGGGGAAAACAAGGAGACACTCTTTCTGTGATGTTGGATCAAGCAGTTCACACAACGAGGAAACACAATTGTTTAACCAACGAGAATTTTAACTGTTAGTAAATAAAATAAAATAATTAGAACGTTAAAAAAAGAGGAGTGAGAAGGTTAGGCTTGTGTGTACTAGGGCTTTAACAGACTACTCGAGTAATAGACAGGTCGATTCCTAGGACATCTATCAAGTTTTAAAATTTCACGTCGAGTATTAGCAGTGACGTCATTGTGTCACATGATTTGCACCGGGCTACTAGTAGAAGCTAGCAAATGGATTCCTCCCAGCACATGGACTGAGCGGAGCAGGTCCAGTCTTGGCAAACAGGTAGAAATGCATCAATAGTATGGAAATATTTCACTAAAGATGAAACTTCCGGTTCAACTACTGTAAGGAAACAGAAAATGAATCAACTTCCTGACTGTTTGGAGCTCGTTGCAAACCCATGTTGCACCATATTTTGTGACCACCGTACATTGTGACCGTAGCGGGCGGTGTTGCATGCACTGTTGCAGGGCACAGAATATGGTGCAACATCGGGTTCAATCGACCGAACCAGAACCAGCTTCCTCTGACCTTGTTTCACAAACTAAAAGCAAAAAATATTAATCTCTAAACCTATAAACATATTAATCTCTAAAACCAGCCCTGCTGGTTTTAGTTTCGTTTTTGACGTGTTCCACGTTATTTCTTTTACTTTTGCAGCTTAATAATAATAACTAATAGTTTTGGTTTTCCTGTGACTTATTTGCTGTATGATAAATGGTAGGAGCATAATATACTCTCCCAATGTTTTGTTGGTCTTTTTAAAAAATAAATAAATGACTTTTTCTTTTTGCGTTTTATTTATTTATTTTTTTTTCATCTCGAGATCCTATGATGTCATCAACTACTCGAGTTCTCTCGAGTTTTATTATGTTAATGTTGAGTTTAAAAATTATGTATTCGTTCAACCCCTAGTGTGTACTGACATCATCACAACGTTAAACAATAGTATCACAATACACTACAACACTGTGTGACCCCAGCTAAGATCCAGATCTGGAATTAAAAAATATATATTTTAATTTCTTGGGGTTATTCCTGCAAAACAAACAGCTACAGAATAAAATGCTTCATTTTTATAACACATTCTTTGCAATGTTAGATCCAGTGACCAAAACCACAAACAAAACAAGTAGTTTTGCCTCAAATGTTCAGCTGACGTCAACTCTGTAAACCTGTGACACCTCGAACTACAGGGAAAGTGTGTAGAAAGTACAAACCTCAAAGAAAAGCTATAACCTACCATAAAAAGATTGTGCACTACTACTCTGGTGCAAAAGGAAGAAAAATGATTTGATAGAATAAATAGTTGATGTTTTGAATAAGATATTGTTTTCTAATCATTTCTGTATTCAAGGCATATTGTACAACGTACAGCTACAGCAGCAATATATCAATACACACAAAAAACTGCTGAACAAGGCTTTAATATTCATGACTTGGACCTGGAAGGTTAATAAAAGAAAGGCTAAAAGTCTTTTCGAGTTTTCCTGCAGGTCAGAACAAGTCTATTACATAAAACCTCCAAAATGCTCCAAACAATGTTTTAAATAAAACTAAATTGATACGTTTGGGCTGTAGGGTGTGTGTGTGTGTGTGGGGTGGGGTGTGTGCATGTGTGTGTGCGTAAGAGATTGAAGGGTTTTCAGTGCAGTGCAGCAAAGCTGTCGCCTCCGATGCGACTATTGTCACCACTGCATTGGAGCCTTCCTTCCAGCTTCTGTCACCATGGCAACAGAGCTGCTGCTGGCTCCTAAGGTCAGGCGGTGCAGCAATGAATAGCAATGAGAGAGGAAGTCACACATTTACAGCAAGTAAACAACAACAGAAAGTGTGTGCACAAAGACAACAGATGTGCAAACACACGCACACAGAGATGTGAGCACAGAGAACTAGCGCGGGGAGATTGACACTATATACAGTAAATAATCTTTTCAAGCTTTTGCTCCTCAGATTATTTGAGATCAACCTCTCTACGTTTGTCATCTTTAATAATGATTGTTTTGTTCTTCTCTAAGATCCTTTTGCCTCCATCAGCTGTGTCCCAAATTTTATTTTCCATACATTTTACTATTCCCAGTACATCTTTATTCGTTTGTTTATATTTACCTCTGCGTCTCCGACCTTCTTGTAGAAGACCTCATAAAGGATGATCAGGCCATTAGGAGAGGACGGTGCGTTCCACTTAATTAATATGGAGGGAGTTTCACCGGTCAGAACCTCGTGGGTCACAGGGCCGGGGATTTTGTCTGCTTTTACTGCAGAAATATGAAAAAATTAAAAAGTAAAAACCTTAATCGAGCTGTTTCCCATGGAGCTCATTTCATCTTTGAGGGTGAGACATTCAATGCTTTTTATACACCAAAAGATTTTTTTATATATATTTTTTATTACAACTATAATAAATTTGTGTATATGTGTGTGAAGCATGCAGAGACTTTCCGCCCGTTTACCGTTAGGCATCGTTCGGGCACTGACATATGTCGCCAGGCTGCAGCGTTTGGGGTCTTCAGGATGGTTGCAGGCCATGATCTCGATTGTGTAACTGGTAAAATGCTGCAGGTCGGATATAACCGCCGACTCAGAGGTCACATTCAGCTCCACCTGAGCAGAAAGTCCATAGTTTAAATTTTGTTTCAGCTAAGATTTATTTGACCATTTATTATTGTTCACAGTTTGTCTAAACTATTCACTACCACAGGTACTATACACAGGCAATTATTTTATGACAAATAACATCACACACACAAATATCATTAAATGTTTGAGACCTTGTCTTCATCTGTAGATGGGGCAGAAGTGGAGCCGTGGTGCAGGCTGGATATTGTAGTAAACAAAACAGAAGACTTGGTGGGACCGGGGTAGTCCACTGAGCGCCGTTCACGAGTGGGTCTGAACAAAAACAGTGCAGCAGATTAAAATATAGAACGTTAGCAACAGTGACAGTATAGGGACAGGACCAGCAGACAGAACAGTGGTTTATGTGTAGTCAACTTTTTCAGATGAGATGCAGCAGAGAACTTCAGCAAGGACTTGAGCTCACGCCAACCTTTCCATTGATCAATTTGACTTTCTTCACAAACACCAACAACTGTCTCGTTCCACTGTGTGGAGCCAGTGAGCAAAGTCTAATTCCCACTAAACCACAGACAAAAATACCTAAACTCTTTCAAAAATGACCACATGTAGTGTTTGTAATCAGAGCATCAGAGGCTTCGCTGCTGGCCTTGATGTGGAGCTGGACTGATGAATATCCAGGTCTTCCTTTGACTGACGGACTGAAAAAAAACATGAAGAGGACTGGTTGTCCTGAGACCTCTGCCAATTCAGGATCATGGGTTCAAAATGCACCCAAAGAGTGTGTGTATGTATTTGTGTGTCTCCAAATTGCAGTCTGCATGATTGCACCTCTGACGGGCATGAATGATAATGAGCACAGTAATCACAAAAAGCAGACAAAGACCGTGTGTAATTATGTGTGTGCGAGTGCGTGTGTGGAGGTGGGGTGGGTACACTGTACCTCCTACTTTAAGCTCTAAAGACCAAAAACATGCATGTTCGGCTGATTGGTGACTCTAAATTGTCCCCTAGGTGTGAGTGAGAGAGTGAATGGCTGTTTGTCTTGTTTGTCTCTGTGTCCCTGTGATGGACTGGAGACCTGTCCAGGGTGTCCCCTGCCTCTCGCACAGTGATTGCTAGATATGGGCACCAGTGACCCAAAAGCAGTAAAGACTGTATGGCTGGATGGTGTTGCTCAAATTTACCTGTGGTTAGGGTCGACAGATTTAATCCAAAAACATAAAGGACACCGAAACAGCCGGATCTTGGTCTTTGAGGTCACAACCCCGACGTGTCAGCAGAGGTGTAAATTCTGACTTAAATCATCCAACCCTCCAATATCTTTACTCGCCACTTCCTTTGTGGGTTGCAGGGAAAATACTGCAATTCTTTATACGTGAAGCATTATTAGTAATATTTTTTTATTTATAAATGTCAATTGATAATTAAAAAATAGCTTTAATAAATGAGCTCAGTGAAACTGAATAACTGTATGGAAAGAGGTGAAGTTTTAGCTACAACTCGTCAATGATAGCAGTAGGAATGTTGCTCACCTGCAGTGCAAGTGTGCAGCATGTTTTATGAGCCACAGAAAGTTTCACCTATCTTTACAGATAGCTTCAAAGTTATTTCCCTTTACACTATTTTAGCCACAAATTTAAATCCAACTCACGTCTGCACTTCTAAACATTTCAGTGGTAAACCTGAGTTGTAGCAAGGTGAGCTACTGACACTCATTACTGACCCTTTACTAACAGACCTGCCCTCCTCTGCCTCTGATTGGCTAAGATCCTGAATGTTTTATCCAATCACCAGCACATTTTCACTCAAAATGTGGAAAGGATGATGCTGCGTTTCAGGAAACACAAAACAAAACCTGTCTTGTATTGGTTAAAAACAGGATGCACAATTAAATGTCTACGACAATTCCATGTTTTAAGGGACATGTGGCAACCCTACCTGAGATTTTTCTTCTTTTAACATGAATGGTCAGAATAAAATCAATTTTAGTAGCTATAGCTGAACAAGAGATTAAAAAATTGCATCTTTTCTAAAAATCTGTGGGAACTATTGATATGATAAACTTCTCAGACTGTCCTGCAGCCAGAAAAGAAAAATTAAGAAGTCTCGTAGCCAAAACACAAGTGCAAATGTTGACTGGAGGTGTTGGAACTGCTTACCTGCTCTCAAACACTTCGTTATGGAGGTAATTCTCAAAGGTCTTGCGATACTCAATCTCCTGCTGCTCCTTCTCTATCTGACTTTTTGTCAAAGGACAGGTGCAACATTTTCCTTCTGAGGTGGAATCATCTGTGTGGTTCCATTTCTGCTCCTCCTCAATGTCCAGGTAGGTCGGGATCCGAGACGGCGGCTTCATTCCTGAACACGAAAGACAGACGTGAGGAGGAAATCCATACAAAAGGAGGAGAAAGGAGCAGCCGAGATGGTTCCAAGGCACTTCTCAAATACTGACCTTGTAGGCAGTAGTCAAACTTGTAGAGGTCACTGTCCTCTGGTTGCTTACGACAGATGACCCGGTAGTGGGTGATGTTGCCATTCGGGCTGTTTGGAGGCTTCCACTTCAGGATGATCTGAGAGGAGGAGTTGGATGATGAGATGGGGTCCAGAGGTACAGAGGGCCCTGGAGGAGGAGGGGGAAAAAAAAATAGCGAAACAATCACACGAGAACGTCAACCTTAAACCAAAAGTTAAAAAAATCTAATTCTGCATGTGTGCTTAACTTACTGAAAGCGTTAGTGCGAACATAAATAATTTCACTTTTGGCTCCATAAACTTGACGCTCATCAGGTGCAGACAGCTGGGTTTTGACCATGATGGCATACTGGGTCCAGGGTTTCAATGGTCGGATCAGGTATGCTGGATCGTCCACCTTCTTGCCATCCGTTGGGCGAGGTGGTGGATCAACATCGGCGATCACCCAGCTGTTTGAGCCACAGGCGTCCTGTCCGTCAAACTCTGTCACATTCTTGTATGGACTGCAGACAACAAAAAGGCCAAAGATAAAAAATAATGTACAAACTGTAAATAGGGTTAAAAAACACAACAATTTTAATAGAAAGTGTTCGTGTAAAATAATCTTTGGTATATTTCTCAGGTTGTTTGTGCTGAGTTGAGATATTAACTTTTTTTTAATTATCATTTGTCAAAGTCTAAAAGCAGCAACCAGATGAAGCCTGATTAGTAGATCTTAATATCAATCAGTTTGTTTTGTGGTAAAATCTACAGAAGTCCAACTTACGCCTCTTTGTACAACACCATGAATCCAAGCAGGTCTCTAAAGTCTGCCGGCCAGAACGAGCTCCACCTCAGGATGATCATGTTATGTGAGGCCTTGATGAAGGTGAACTTCAGACTCTTTGATTCACCTAAAAGACAAAACAAGTAATCCTCAGAACATGTCTGTTTACACCCAAAAAGATAACTAAAGTGTTCTGTTTTAATATTGACGTTGTTTATATTTATTGATAAAAACTGTTATCTGTATTTAAAGTACAAATCTATTACATTCAAAGATGTATTATAGTACTAAGTTTTAAGTAGTTTATTGCAACAAAAAAAAATGCACAGAACATTAGGGGTGTAACAGTACGCGTTAAGTCTACATACCTCGGTATGAGGGTCACAGTTTGGTACGGGTTTGGTACAACAGGAAACACAAACAAATGCAAGTGTTGTTTTTTTAACTGACAATAACTTCTAACAGCAGAGACTAACAAAACAAACTACTATGGGGAGGCTCTAAGGTAGAAGTCATGTACAGCAAGGTGACATTTGTCAGCTGATGATTCCACTAGAAAATAAAAGCATTTCTTTCTGTCCATTTCATCCAATATGAATCGTAAACAGTAACGCGAGTTTAACAGAAAGTTTGATAAACTTTGAAATGTTTTCTTAAATAAAAAAAATTTAAATAAAAAATTAAAATGAAACAAAAAGGAGTGTTTAATTAATATAACAATAAAGAAAAAAAAAATCGCAACACTGAATAACATCACTGTTAAAACACAAAATAATGAAACGTGAAACACTCAAACCTAGCTTCTCAGTAGTCTGAGTGTGTGGAAAAATGATCCTTGACATCAGTGATGTTGAATAAATATACACTACATCTGGCTCACCACAGTACTTTTAAAGTTTTGAATACATAATAAAATTTCTTGCCATACATGCACGTTGTTTCTCCTTGCTGCAGCTGTCTGCTATCAGTGGCCCCAGAGAGCTTTTCCTTTTTATTTTGAATTAAACATGCAGGTCCTCAAACATGTCTGCATGTTATTCTGAACCAGACATGGTTTCACTAACGTCGAGTGTTTTATAGTTTTGTCGAGTGTTTTATAGTTTTGTCGAGTGTTTTATAGTTTTGCCCTCTGCTTCCTGTTTCTGTTGGGGCTGTTAGCAAAATGCATTCAAATAAAACATGTCTGCTCTGAAAGCAGTGATCACCTGTGACTAGTTGTTATCTAGTTCATATACCTGTACCAAACACCTATACCAGACTGTCATGGAACAAATATATGGACCGTTACACCCCAATGTATTTTAATTACTATCAGTGAAAGAGTGGATGTGTATACAGCAGCTCAGTAAACATGTTTGTTGAGTTCTCTCACAGGAAGCTTGGTCTCCATTGGTGCGCAGAGCAATGTCATTCTTCTGATTACGCTCTTTGGTTCCAGTGACCTCCTCCATCTTGGTGATTTCTGACATGCAAAGTTTAGAGTTGAAGTGGAAGAACATACGGCCACGCTCTATGGTCAGGTTGTGCTTGGACCAGTCCCACAGCTGATGAAGGTTCTGGTTATCCAGTGCATAAAATGCAAAGGTGCTAAAACAGACAGTGGAAAAGCAGATAAATAAATTAACCAAAGAGCAGACGATAAGTAGAGGTACCTCAACGTTGTTGAAGAATTTAAAGAGTGAATGGTTGTAGTTATGGAAATGAGTTTTTGAGAATGGAACTGAAAAGGGAATGCAAGTAAACTTTAATGTTTTTGGTGAAAGATCTTCAAGTGGGTAGGAGTTACACTGTGTATAAAAACAGAGGTAGTTTTTTTTTTGTATGTCAGAGGCATTGCAGAGTGACGGATCCTGGCAAGGAGAGGGAGCAATTTAATTTACTACCAGGAAGGGGTGTCCTAGATTAATTTTCAGACACCATAATCATTTGAGGAAACTATACTTTTGAGCACTATCAAAACTAGAAAGCATAATATATTCAGTGCATTTGGAAAGTATTCACAGAGCTTCACTTTTTCCATATTTTATGTTACAGCCTTATTCCAAATTGTTTTAAATTAATCTCTTTCCTCAAAATTCTACACACAATTCCCCATTATGACAACGTGAAAAAAACATTAAGATTTTTGCAATTTTATTAAAAGTAGAAAACTAAGAAATCATTAGAGATGCACCGATCCACTTTTTTTTTACTTCCGATCCGATCCCGAGACCTAAATCTGAATATCGTCCGATACCGATCCAGTTCCGATATCATCATCATTGATTTTACATGAGGCTGTAATAATCTCCTCTCAAGTACAATTTGTACAAATACATGCAGGCATGTCCAAAAAGGCGACTTGAGGTAAGTTTTATTAATGTTGGATAAGTTTTAAAGTTAGAATTAAATTCTGCTAACACAAATCATGTTTCTTTTTATTCCTAGCTTTAAAGTGGATATTAAAGTGATTAATTTAAGTGATTGTTTAGTTATTTTATATTTTTTTAAATAAGGGGCAGATATATCTTTTTTCTTCTTTCTGCATTCTTTTCATTCAATGTTTTCTTTTTGATTATTATTTTTTTAATTTTGTTTCTTTTAAATGAATGAATAAATGAATTAAATAAAATGTTAAATGGCTTCAAACATCTGCTAAGTTCATGGCATAAACCAACAGACATGTTCCTGTTTTTAGTATTTTACATCACTTTATAATGTAGCTGTTTTTGTTTTTAATATAATTTTCAAATCATATGTTTTTTAATGATTGTCTACTGTTGTACTGATAAATATCTCCTGGAGAGTAAACTATATCTTAGCTGAAAGTATCAAGCTGTGAAATCCTTCGTTTTCTACAACTGATAGTGGTTGGTCATTAATTATGATGAAGTTTAGCAACTTCTCTGTAAACATTTGAGCTCCGTGGCTTCAGCGATGTCTTCTTGTTCAATCTGAAGCAGGCAGCCTGATTTGGGGCAGCCCCGCTCAGTCTGACCCTCCTCAGAGACGGGCAGACTGAGCGGGGCAGATTGGACGCGGCTGGCCGAGGTCGAGTCGCCTCTTTCGGATTCAGCGAGAGTAGCGACCCGCTGAAGCCATGGAGCTCGAATGTCCAACGTAAAACTGACTTTACCACGGTTTAATGTGGCGCTATGGCTCTGCAGACATTGCATGTTGCTGTCTTGTTTTGTGGTGTTTCTAGTGTAAAATACTTCCACACAGCGGGCATGTTTAGATGAAAAGTTTATTAGCTGTTAGCCACAGTGCTGCTAACTCAGTCCTCACGTTGTAGCTGGCTGCAAACTATGAACTGGATTTCCTGAATGTGAGGCGGGTCTTATTATTCTGGGTTCACGAGACACGCCTCCGTTCAGGAAATCCACTCCATAGTTTGAAGCCAACATGCGTCATGGATCAGAAATATCGTCAGGTGGATCGGAAAAATCTGATACGTAAATTATGCTGGTATCGGAGGCCGATACAGATACTGGATCGGATCGGCCCCATCCTTAGAAATCACATTCACACAAGTATTCACGGGGCAGCACGGTGGCGCAACTGGTAGAGCTGCTGCCTCTCAGCGAGCAGGTCCCTGGTTCAAACCCCGGTCCAGGGGCCTTTCTGGGTGGAGTTTGCATGTTCTCTCCGTGCATGCGTGGGTTTTCTCCAGGTGCTCCGGTTTCCTCCCACAGACCAAAATCATGCATGTTAGGCTGATTGGTAACTCTAAAATTGTCCCTAGGTGTGAATGAGAGAGTGAATGGTTGTTTGTCTCGTTTGTCTCTATGTGGCCCTGTGATGGACTTGCGACCCGTCCAGGGTGTACCCCGCCCCTCGCACAGTGATTGCTGGACATGGGCACCAGCGACCCCCGTGACCCAAAATGGAATAAACGGGTAAAGATAATGGATGGATGGATGGACAAGTATTCACAGCCTTTGTTTAATTTAATACAATTCGGAATAAGGCTGTAACATAAAATGTGGAAAAAGTGAAGCGCTGTGAATACTTTCTGGATGCACTGTATACACACACCAACTTCACTGGAAGTTGCTCCGTTGCTTATTTTTCAAGTTATCCAGCTCACAAAGTTTACATATAAATGACAGTGGCCATCTTGGATTTGGACGTGGCAACATAATTCTCTAAAGGAACATTTCTTTTGCCTAGTGCAGCCATAAACCAAAGTGGAAGTTGGTACTTCACTTATTTTTCACGTTTTTGTGCTCACAACCTTTATGCATAGATGGAGGATACTTCCAATTCCCTCCTTTCGCAGCGTGACAGGGGACCAAAAAGTTGAGCGGGACAGAAGAGGAAAAATAACTTACTCTCCTTCAAGATGTTCCCCTTTGATGAGGCGTAGCTTTCGTAAAAACGAGAGGGAGACCAAGGCGTAGGCTCTGCGAATGCTCAGATAACCTTTGATTATCTCAATCTGTCCCAAACTAGCCTCCAACTCAGCAGCAATGTTATCTGAAAGTTAAAAAAAAGTAAAGGAAGCAGTCAGACACACTAAACACAACAAACAGAACCTCTAGCCTTCATTGCCAGAGTTTATGGGTAAAGCTACTTACTTCCTCCTCGAATCTTAATGATCATGTTGCCTTCTATAATAGTGCAGCCTCTTAAAGCCTGGGCAGAGGTCACCGAGTCAATCGTCTTATTTCCTTTACACTCTTTAGGACAGGGACCTTCACAAGGTTCACACAACAACCTACACACACACAAAGACAAAATCAACAATTAGTTTTTAATGAATAAACAAAAGCATGTGTCTCAATCTTCATAAGAAATAAGTGCAAATGTAACAAAGCATTTTACACAAAAAGTGTCTGAATATAGATTTACCGCTAAGCACTTTCTGGAATAAATGCCATACCATTGCCTTTGAAGAAGTTTTAAATAGTTTGTCTTGAATTATCAGAAACAGAATCGGTAGAAATGACTGGTATGAAGCAGGAATGCTCGGTGGTGTTTTGGTGCGGTGCTGATCGGAAACCCAGCTGACATGAGAAATTCAAACAAGGCTGACTGTTCAGAAACATTTAATGAACGAGCATTTCATCTGACATGTATTCGGTTTTTTTCCAAGTATGTTTCCTTTTAGGTTTATTTTCCTCAATCCTATCGTCTTTTGCTTTGTTCTATAAAAAGCAGATGTGACAAATATGTAAACAGAATATGTCATGTTTATCCTCTGGATTTAGTTTTTTTAAATAAACAACATGGCAGCAGCTAAATGAAATTTGTGCTTCAACTTAAGAACCAAGAAAACTACTCTGAATTTGCTGATGTTTTTGAAGGAGAATCTTTTAAATAAATTTAATAAAAGCCCCCTTACGTATATAAGCTTTGAAGTTGACATCAGATTATATTCGCTCCCATTTGTGCCTTCTTGATATTTATTGGTACAGAAGCAACAGGCACAAGTGATCAAAGAAAGAAGCGTCACAAACAACCGAAACAACAAGGCATAGCCACCAGCTGCAGTTCCCAACAGGCTACAGTCTGTTTCCGTCTCTCAGTTTGGTCCGTGACGTCCTCCCCCTGCAAACATGCAAGGACTCACGTACCCACACAAACTCCCTGTGCCATTAAGTCACGATAGTGCCTCTCGGGAAATTTGCTCACAAAGAGGTACGTCTTGTACGGTGAGAAGTCAGATACACGCTGCACAGAGATGAGGAGCGTGATGCTGTAAAACTCCCTCAAAAAACACATTACCTCTTTTTAAATCACTTAAAGACAATAATATTTTATCTGCTAAGGTATTAGTTTAAAAAGATTGTGTTTGGGTTTGGGAAAAGCCACACATGTGCCACTGATTTATCATCTAAAGAAAAAAAAAGTTGGATCAGATTTTTCCTATTAAAAAAAGAGCTCTTAAATCAGATGAGAACATGAGATCATGCTAGATCAATGACAGTATTTAGGAGTAATCAAATCAGTGTGTACTCCTTAACTTGCATCCTTATTGAGCTTTTAATTTTTCATTATGCAACTCTTTTTTCTTTTTTTTTTTTAATAATCCCTTTTCCAGGACACACACTCACAAGGTTACCAAAACTGTGCCCCCACTTTCAACCTCTAGAAATAAAGCTGTCCTCAAAATGTCATTTAGTATAAAGACCTGAAAAACTCCCACTGGTACTGTTTAAATCAAAATAGTCATTTCCTCCTGGTGTCTCTTAGTTCAAACTTTTGATAAATCACTCCAATCGAGGCCAGCTCGTGGGTTGGAAACAAAGACACAAGCTATCCAAAACAATAAATAATAAAGTTTTTAGGCTATGTTGTTTGTGTCGCCCCCAGACAGAAATTTATAAATTCAGAAGTAACGCTCTAGTTGCAGCGTAGAAAGGGGGAATGTTTTGGGCTGTTGTACTGAAAACACAGACACACAGGCAGACAGCCGGGCTTCTTAAAGGGAGAGTGTTTATCTGAACTCTGTGACTCTGAAGTTCTGTTAGAGCCATCCAGAGCCGAGGCTGCAGCAATGGTCCCAACCCTGAGAGAACCACAGACCGTGTGCATGTGTGTGGAACGCAGTGACGTTGTCCCAAAAAAGATGAGCAAACTCATCTCAGACTGTTAACGAAAGCAGATACAGTACAAACGTCTGTTAAATCTATTTAAAATATATATTTAATAAAAAGCATCTGAAACCATTCCCTAAACCAGTTTCGAAGGGATTGTCCCATCATGTTATATTAGAGGAAAGCACAAAAAGAATCAAGTTTACTGGTCCCTAATAAATAAATAAATAAAGTAATTGTACACATACTAGTGTGGCATAACATAATTAAGAAAAGCTGTCAATTTTATGTAGAATGTGATTGTATTAGTAGTGACAAACACTAATTTTCCTCGGCATCCATCCATCCATCCATCCATCAACAGCTTTTTCCTTTCAGGGTCACGGGGGTCACTTGTGCCCATATCTAGCCATCACTGTGCAAGAGGCAGGGGACACCCTGGACAGGTCTCCAGTCCATCACAGGGACACAGAGACAAACGAGACAAACAACATTCACGCTCTCTCTCACACCTAGGGACAATTTAGAGTTACCAATCAGCCTAACATGCATGTTTTTGGTCTGTGGGAGGAAACCAGAGTACCTGGAGAAAACTCACGCATGCACGGAGAAAACATGCAAACTCCGCCCAGAAAGGTCCCTGGCTGGGATTCGATCTGGCAACCTGCTCGCTGAGAGCTGGCAGCTCAACCAACTGCACCACCTATACTTCTTTTATCACAATATTTCAAACTCTTTCTGTGTGCTTTCATGTGTATGAGCATCTCAGCCACCATCACCTAAATCAGCTGTGGGTGTCAAATTCAGTGAGCGTCTATCACAATGGACAAATATCAACATGGAACAAAAAGTATAGAAATTTGTTTGGTCAGGTATTTCTTTTTTGTAACAATGCTTCTTGGCAATACATCCAATACTATTAGAAAGCCTGTTTATTTCCCTTTAAATTGGTGCCATATTTATTAGAAAATAATTCCTCTATTTGTTAGATAAATGGCAATTTAACAATTTTTATTTATTTAACAAATAGAGGAATTATTTTCTATTGGCAATTTAACAATTTTTAATGTGTCATATTTCTTCAAACTTCAATCATACAGTCCAATATACCAGAGTTCCTCAACCCTGATCCTCAAAGTCCAGTGTGTGTTAGATCTTTCCCTGCTTCAACACATCTGAATGAAATGAATGACTCATTGACAGGCTTCTGCTTAACTTGATGTTCAATTATTTGAATCAGGTGTGTTGAAACAGGGAAACGGCTGAAACATGCAGGACAGTGGATCACAAAGACCAGGGTTGTGCACCTCTGCAATAAACTACACAAAGCAAGAGTCAATAGCAGAACAATCTGTTCAGCATTGGCAAAAAGGTTCAGCAAGATTTTCAGGAGTGTAACCCACATACTAACCGCTGCTGTTCAACCCACAAAAGCAGTTTGCTATCAAATGAGGCATAATTTAAGGAAAATAAACAAGATTTTCAACGGTATAAGAGTTATTGCCAAGAAGCATTGTTACAATGCTTCATGAAGGACCTCACTCACCCAGCACACAAACTTTTTGCCCTGCTTCCCTCGGGCAGAAGGTTGAGGAGCATTAAGTGCAGAACCACTAAAGTAAAGTGCTATGTATTGTTATCATTGTATGGGAACATACAATGGTGAAATTACTTCTCTGCATTTAACCCATCGAACCTGGGATACACCCAGGTGGAGCATTGGGCAGTTATGTAAGCGCTCGGGGAGCAATTAGGGATTGGGTGTCTTGCTCAGAGACACAAAATGTGGGAATGGCTGGGGATCAAGCCTTGGACTTTTGGGTCCTGAGTCGGCTGTCCTACCTCTACCTCATCTCGACCATCTCGGCCCCTAAAGAAACCCATCTACCCTGAGTCTATTAGACTCATGAATCCCTAATCAAGATCATCATTATGAAAAATAAAAAAAATCACTGTAATGCCACTTGATTGTTGATTGTGCTGCTGACTATCCCCATGCTGCTGATCTCATGCTGCTGTGTTCATTCGTACTCATCTGCTCACACAGACTCATGTTCGTGCTGCTGTTGTTCGGCGTAGTTTTTGTACTACTAGTGCTTTGCGTATTTAGTTTAGCGTATTTCTTAGTTCATATCTTGGATCTTATTACCGTTTTTCTTTTACAATTTATACTTTTGTTGGATGTAACTGGGACCCTGTGTACACAATTTCATTCCACCACATGAATGACAATAAAGAACCTTGACCTGAAAACAAATTCATCAACCAAAAACAAATGTCCTCAATTTTGAGATGAGTTTATATTTGGTTTGCAGATTGTGGCATTTGAAATATGATGACTGTTTTCATAATTGCTTACGCCAATATAGCAACGTCAATAAACTTTTGATATTCTGTAAGCCTCAACTTATATCTATGACACTAAATATTCAGATTTAAAGTTATAAGTCAAAAGACTGTGCCTATTGGACGCATTAATGGAAGCATGAATAACAGGATTTCTGCAAATGTCAGTACAAAATTACAAACTAAAAACATAAGTAAATGCATTTTAGGACATAAAAACTGGATATTTAAACTACTTTGTAAGGCCTAAAGTTGAAATTGTTAAATTAAAGTCTTTATCACTTTTTAAGAGCCCGTAGAAACCCCGAGCTAAAAATTCCAACAACGAGAGACAATGTTGTGTATCTTCTATTTCTAAATACTAACAAAGGGCCAAATTTACCATTCAGGAGTTTATTTAGGTTTATTAATAAAAAAAATAAGGACTTAACCTAATCTTCCTATGCTCTCCATGTTACTGCCTTTTTGTGTGGCTCACATTTTTGGATCCAATTTATTTTCAGACTCATATGGAGACGTAACAAAAAGAAATACAGAAACTTCACACAGATCATTTCATTTGAGTGTACAAGGACGACTTTAGGTTAAGCAAGCAGTAGTTGTGGTTTAAGTCATTATGTAAACAATGCAAGTCAATGTGACGTTCTCTAAAGCCATGATGCATGCATGCGTGTGCGTGTGAATGCACACATGCACACGCCTCTCAGATCTGTGTGTGTAACTTCTGACATACTAAAAAAATGTGATGACGTTCGTTCCTCCTCTAGGAAAAACACAAAAAAGGTTGGAATGTCACAGCAGAGTCCTGATGGAAAAGTCTTGTTTATCAAATGAAGTGTAGGCGCACAAAGCACTGTGCAAAAGTTTCAAACAATTCACAAGATCAGTTCTTATTTAACCCTGCGGTTCGAACAGTGAAGTATACATCTCGTAGAGTCACAACAAATTCAAACGTGTTTTTAGAGTAGCATAGATTTATATTTATATACGACTAAAATAAAATTGTGTCCACAATTTCCACAGCATTATTTTGGCTAGAAATCTTAAAACACTGCAGCCAGGAGAAGAAGGTGGTGTTAAATACTGAGATGTTTACATCAAATAAATAACTTACTGTATTTAATCTGTGTATTGCGGTCAGTGTCATTAACAACATCTACCCAACTAAAAACACCACTATCTTACAGCTTCAAGTGTCTGGAAATACATAACAGTTTCATACATAATAAACAAAAACACACAGTAGTGACAAAAAGAATGCCTCAAGGTCCAAAAACTGCAATTTAAGTAAATCTCCCTCACTGCAGCACAAAAGCGCAGGTGAAAATAGTGTGATCTCAATACCTTGATGTTAAAGCCAGAAAGGTCAAAAGGTGAAGCACGACTATGTGTAACAAAATTACATGAAGGCCAGCGCTAAAGTTTGGTGAAATAAATGGTTTGAGGAAACATCCATCCAATAAACTTCCCCGCTTCTTCGTTTTTGGATTGTGGGGGTCACTGGTGCCTACATCCAGCAGTCACTGTGTGAGAGGCGGGGGACACCCTGGATAGATCGCAAGTCCATCACAGGGTTTGGAGATAAAAATTTAGGTAATTCAGAGCAATGTTTAATCTCTAGTTTCCTTTCTGTGAAGAAAAGATCTTTGAGTTGAAATGCAGCAAGCTACATTTCTGTTTACCTGCATCACTTGTTCAGGCTTTAAGAGGCAAATATTCCCATCGCACATAACCTGCTGGTGTTGGACGAAACTCTTTGCTAAACCATCCGTTTACATCTAATGATCCGTTTCCATTCTCCTTCCTACTGATGAATCTGTACATTGAACTTTAATATCCCATCTTGTGAATATGCCATTGCCCAAGCTTTAGTGTTCAGAAAGCATGCAAACAAGCGGTTTCCAAAACATATACTTAACCTTTAAACAATTACACATCATCCCAGTTTAGCAACAGCTACTAAGACGTCAGTGATTTTCCTGTAACCTTCCTTACAACTTCGTAAACACGACCGAAGAGGTCATGTCCTTGCTTATTGCATACCGAGAGGTTTTCTTAAGGTTGCTTTTGTATTTAAGGTCAACACATTGACCAAATCCAGTTTGTACCGAGATGTGGGGTTCAATCTGCCTGACGACAAACGTCTCACAATCAAGACTTTATAAACAGCTCTCGGACAGACTTTCAAGATGACTCCAGGTTACAGCTGAAAGATCCTTTCGAATAGAAAAATACTGGTTGTCAGATTATTTCACACCAGTGCACCCTTTTTTAAATCATCAGTGCTTAGAGGCTACACTTTCTGCAGATAAGTATTCTGGCACTCAACAACTTGTTTTCATCTGGTTTAGGTATGACTACATTAATGTTTAATCATGACTCAATCAATCAGTCATAAAAATTTAACCTTTAGCTTTAATAGTAGCTTGGACTAGTTTTTTTTCCTTCCCCAGAAGTAGCTCAGATTTGTTTTCATGCTGCAGTTGTGCTGTGATTTCTTTGCCACTGTTGCTAGATTCTGCTCAGCTACAAGCATCAAACAGACGTAGTATTGTGTTGTATTTTCATGAATCATCTATGAATACAACATTCAGAAGAGTAAGAATAATACATTTAAAGTGAAATACGTTAACGTCATTGCCTCCACATACAACAGCTTGAGATAAGCATATTCTAACAAAGTTGTTTTGTTGACTACTACACTACTCACCAGAGTCCCGGCACCATCTGTTGTGTACAAACGTTATTGTGTTCAGTGACCACAGTGCATTTGTTTTCCTCGTGTTGATGGTGGCATTGAAGGTGTGTTTATGTGTGTGATTTATGAACCAGACGTACCTTGTGGAATTTAAGCTGCTGAATCCAGAAGGACACTCTGGAATGCAGGCCTCATTGTGGATGACGTATTCAAAGCAGCTGGTCTCTTGGTCCTGCTGTTTCTTAATGTTTGTACACTGATCGTGAAGGTTCTGGATAAAAAAATAAAGAAAGATGATCATTTCCTCTAGCTTTGACTGAAGTGATCTTTCAGCATATTTTGAAGTGGAGTTAAAGGGGGCATCCCACTGGGTTGTGACTAGGTAGTCTCCAAAATGTTTTGTGACTTTTGGTAGATTTTCAATTTCCTTGTACGAGTCATAGAGGCGTGCAGCTCTGCTGCTCCAGTTTTGAACATGTAAAAAAAAAAAAAAAAAAAGGCAACACATTTTTTCTCTAAAAAGTCATCGTGTCATATCGGGAGTTTCCAACCCGTCTCAAGAGCGCTACAGCTGTATTTTGACTCTTGCACTTCAGCTCTCCTTTAAATGAAAACATATGCAGCAAATAATAATATTTCAAAAATATGCTGGTAATAAATAGTAATTACTGGAAAAACGGGTCCAAATATGTCTGTCTTTGTTTTAAAAGTGTGCACCAGCAGATTAAATCACAAACTTGGGGGCGTGGTCAAAGTGTGTGCAAAAGAGCCGACGTGGGTTCAGTGTGGGTGAAGGTGGACAACAAAGTAATGCTCTGCAAGCCAAACACACAAATTGGCTGATCAGAACAAACATAACTCGCTGGTTCCAGACACTCAGAAATCAGTGAGCCTGCTACAAAATTTTAGTTTGCAGTTTTTTCCTCTCTATTTTACTGGTATTTGGAGTCACCAACTAGTCTCTCAGCAGTCCCAGTCTTGTGTGAGATCACCTTTAACAAGAAGACAATGGTCAGTGTGGTCTCTGATTTAAAAAAAAAGTGCTACACAAAACCAGATATTGACAAGAGTAAATAAAGAGTTTTCTGCTATTTAAAACGCTTAAAGTAATCCCTATATTTTATTTCCTTAGTAACTTATTTAGACAAACTTATAGTTTTTAGTGAAAATGGGTATTTTTGATGTTGAGCTTACTTGTTTTAATGCTGTTTTTGATAGTTTATTGTTTAAACTTATTGTAAAGGCCTTAGTGTTTTGTAAAAGTAAACTACACATGCTCACTGTGGATTGTTTTACACAATCATGTTTGCATCAGACAGCTGTTTATTTATTTATTTTTACTTTTTTTTTTAAAGAAAAGGTCCACACCACTGATGTGGTGCTGGAATAAACTGCCATACAATCTTAGTGCTCCGAGTGGTTTTAGATCAGTGATGTCCAAAGTGCAGCCCGTATCTGGACGGTCACGTCTGATTGGACAATTACAAAAAAGGTGGTTCTGAACGGTCACATCTGATCGGATGATAAAAAACAAGGAGTTACTGGAACAAAACAGACAAAAAAAAAAAAAAAATCCAGTTTGTTTGTTGAATAATGTGAAAATAGTTCAAATCAATTTGTAAATACAAAAATAAATAAAGTAACCAAAATAATAAAATTAAATTAAAATTAAAGCAGTCACTGCAGATGAGTGATCATCAGTTTCTGTAAGATTTCTGCAACTGGAGCAGATATTTCTGTTTACTGGTTAATTTCCTCAGCTGTCACAGATTTTAAGGGTCAATCCTACTCCATGTTTCAGCTCCTTTCATAGATCAGCTCTCATAGAAGAGCACTTCTAAACAGTAAATTTTGTTTTTTTTACTTTTGTTTTGTGCCATTATCTCGTCACAGGACTCATGATCTTTAATTGAGACCAGACTTTGTGACAAATGGGAGCAGGTTTCGCTTCAGATGCTTCATATTTCATTGTACCCAGACCACACTCAAGCCTACAACCCAACAAAAGAGAATCTTCTTGTGTTTGACAGCAGATATAACACTGTTTCTTAGAAAACTTCCATTTAAAAAAAAGAGCTGATGTAAATTAAAGAGCCAGAAAATACAACTAGCCACTCAGCGTTTGCCATCCACATGGTCCAGAAACGCCCACTTTTGGTCTGCAGAGAACCCTTTCTCACTTGAGTGGTGATACCACTTTATTATTATTTTTGATTTAACAGCAAACCAGATGAAAAAAATCTTCTCAGCATGAGCAAGTAGAATACAAACCTTTGGCTATACATAACTATCATAATCCTTCCCCCCCCCCCCCC